CCCCCCCCCTTTGCTTTTGAACATACCTCGTGGCGCATGAGGGGCTTTGTCTGATCATTTCTTTGTTGTTTTATTTAGCGGGCTCACGGAAGGCGTTATAGCAGTTGGTGAAGGCAGATTCTTGGTTTTTATGAGATACTTTCTGTCTGAATTGGAATGGTCTTTGTGTCCCTATTGTCCCTTACCCTTGGGGAGTCATTCAATGAATTTCATGTGTAAGGGCACAGTTGTTTTGCTATCTCGCCCGTTTTGTCCTCATACCCTCTTTATGTTAAAGTTATACATCTATTTGAAATTCGGTCGGCAGATCTATTGACAGGTCATATGCTGATCAGCTACACCACTTGCCAGACTCGATTACAAAATCATGTATGTTTCACTATCTTAGAGCAACTGAATCTGTGTAATGTGGATGATGGTAATCCTTTGAATACGAGATCGTAGTGTGGACGTCATCGGCGACACATTTAGCAAGATCCGAGATCTGATGCACCTTTAAAGAGACTATATCTCCCTTCAGAGCTCGATCTGATATCTCACTAGTCCCCAGATCTTCATTCCGTATCCGTGGCTCCGTTGCGATCATACCCCACTAGAGTCCACCCTGGTCCACTTCTGGTGTTCGGTGTCCTCCCAGTGTCTCCGATCAACCCTCTCTTTGCTGAAACAAATATCCTCCAATCGGCACTGCAGTTTACTTGCAGTAGTGTCATACGCACAAGGCGCGCCCCATTGTGATACGAGCTGGGGAAACATCAACCCCACGAAATTGGAGTTCCCTTATCTGCACTCAACCGACCCAGCCATCCGGATTTCTGTGGCTTCATGCGTATCTCTCCTGTCGAGGAACAACAACTTTACTTCCCAGAGATATCTGTGTATGACATATGGCATACAAAGGACTGTTGGCTGAACCATATCTTTGAACAGTTTGAATCGCAACCCTTGTACGGTACTAGCGCGTCGCGACGTAATTTCCTTTTTGCCCCATCCTTTATTAGCCGCCTCTCATATCCCACAGTTTGGCCATCAACCAATCCGTTTGAGTCTCTGTGAAACATTCTGTCGTTGAGACCCGCCTACTATTGGGGATTAAGCGCGCTTGGGCAGCTTCACTTGCTCTGAGACTGTGTCAAGTCTAGCTTATCGTTCGTGTCTCACATATCCATGATAGGCGAGACAAGTGAAACAATGTCCGAGAAACCAGTATTCCAAGTGATTGTGTTGGTAAGTTATGACCCGTTGATTTGTTTCTTCTCTGTTGCAGAACCCGTCACGTGGAAGGCCATGTATCTTGGCGATTTAATGTTGTTTTCTCAACTTGCCTGATGGCGGGTTCCAGCAGATAAACCCCTGTAGCTTTACTTTGCTGGATGCTGACTCCCTCAGGGCCCGACTGGTGGACCACGCGAAGATAGTGTCACGGGAATTCTTGTCCGGTCAACGTCAACAAAATGGTCTCCAGACTCCGTAGTAGCCGTTGATGCAGGTACCCTTCTTGCAGGCATTATTCGGTTGCTGGAACGATACATCCCCGAATGCCAGGATGATCGGGGGGTGATGACAAGTGGGCCCTTTCAGGGGCTCGAGCTGCCCTGCAGAACAGCACAGGCAAATGCAGCTCATGTGTTTCGCGAAATCATTGGTGCTGTTCTCATTACACACCCTCATCTGGATCATATCTCAGGGCTGGCTATTAACACTCCAATTCTGGAGGCGGGGAATGGACCAAAACCCGTGGCTGCTTTACCATCTGTGCTGTCCGCTATCAAAAACCACATGTTCAACGATGTCATCTGGCCTAACTTGTCGGATGAGGATGGTGGAGCTGGTCTTCTTACATATCAGCGCTTGGTGGAAGGTGGAAACCCTCGTTTCGGTCGCGGAGAAAGCAGAGGCTATGTCAGGGCTTGCAACGGTCTATTGACAAAATGCCTGAGTGTTAGCCATGGCCGATGCAAGCAGCGATACCATCCAGAAAGCGGGATGCATCATCGAATTGGCAGCACTGTCTTTTCTGATCACCAGTTGATGCTTCCTTCGAGAGCGATTTCAGTGGACCATACCGAGGGCAGGTAAGCTAAGATGAGCAATCTTCCGGAATTCTCTTAACCGTGGCTAGTTTCTATTCTCCCGCTCGCTCCCCACGCCTACTCCCATCCAACCCCAAAGAACCAGTGATGGCAACAGTTGAGAGCTCCGCCTTCTTCCTGCGCGATCATCACACCGGCCACGAGATTATCGTCTTCGGTGATGTCGAACCGGATTCGGTTTCCATGGGAACTCACAACAAACGAGTATGGGAAGCCGCCGCACCGAAAATTGCCACGGGCAAACTCCGAGCGATCTTCATTGAATGTTCCTACAATGACAGCACTGACGACTCGTATCTGTATGGCCACATGTGTCCGCGACATCTAGTCTCTGAGCTCAGCGTGTTAGCCAACAAGGTCACGGAGGTGCGAGATTTGAGCACGGGTGAGAAAAAGCGCAAGCGTGAACCCGTAGGCCCCATCGAGATCGGCAGCGAGCAAGTGAGCCCTCGCTCAAAACGGACGCCAAGATCCTCTGCCGATAAAGGCAGGATATCCGAGCCGCTTGTTGAGCGTCGATCGCATCCGAGCGAGTCATTCGAGATTCCCCAGATACCAAGAGTGGATCTCGGGGATGTCCTGGGAAATCTGGATTCTGAGACTGGGGTTGATAGTACGGCTCCTCCTCTGGAAGGATTAAAGGTCTACATTATTCACATCAAGGAGAATCTTACTGATGGGCCTCATCCTGGAGAGCAAATCTTGAGGGAGCTCCAGGATCATGGCGAAGCAGCCAATCTGGGTTGTGAATTCTTTATCCCGAATCCTCTTGAGGGAATATGGATTTGAAACTTACGAAACCACTACGAGGAGGCCTTTTGTTTTGTTTGTTTTGAGGCGGCGTTTTCTTTGTCATTCTCTGTAAATTAACTCGTATTCATTTCTCAGCTAATAAGTACCTTTAGTGCATCTCTGTATTCGATGTAGATACACAGACCTTCAAGTTTGAGTTCCTTGACTTTTACACCATGTGTACTCATATGTCTACTAGGCTTAATGTTTCTCTAGGGGATTATATCAATGGTATTGGACAAATCTATTCGTCTATAAGATATAAGTATCCATGGTTGCACTGGGTGTCTCTATCTACGTTCATTCAAAGACTTGATACCGAGGCGCAGTCGAGTGCCAATAGCAGCTTCCACCAACGTAAAGCTCGATAGCCTCGAAGTATTGCAAGATCTCTTTCGAAGCGGGCTTCTTCAGCCTTTCCTCCTTGAGCTTTGCAGCCAGAGACTCTTGTTCAACAATAACACCAAGGAGCATCATCTTTGCCGCATCCGCTGTGGTATGATGCTCTTTCATCAGAACTACCACTCCATTTCTCATTCGATCTGTCTCCTGGTCTTTCTCAATATTCCAACTGAAGTAGTCATTGGTTAGACCGAGGACATTTCCCATTGCAATATCGAATTGTTCGATACTGGCGTATTCCTCCTCACTGAGGGTCATATCCATTCCCCAGCGGATGAAATAAGATGACATCCTGGATGATAATTATCAGACTTTTACTGTCAAAGTTCTTAAAATGGTACAGAACTCACCAATAGCCGCAGTTGGCGATCCGGTATGGCATATACTCTTCCATGCGTGTGAAGTCACCGCCGATGTTGTCGAATGTTGCCAGGTAGTGTCTAAGCATCTCGATCATAGCAGGAGCTTGCTTGGGATCAATGTCAATTGCCTTTCGAAGAACGACTGCCAGCGACTTTTGTCGCACATTTCCAGACTCGAACTTCGATGGATCAATGTCAAGTTGAAGGACCTTGGCCAGCTCATCATGCTCTCGGCATGCCTGCAAATCGTTAGTTGGTAATCCATAAACAGACACCTAGCGCTCTTACAGAGATATGATCCATCTCCTCTGTCACGTCTGTAGATGACCCTGTTGTCAGCACACTGCATATATGTGGGGCACCTTGGTGTCTTACCATCATGGATCCACATCACCTCGACTAGGCAGGACAACAGAGCTAGTCTGTCCGGAAAGGCCGAGCAGTGGCAAATGGTGAAGGGGTCACCGTAAGGATTGGTGTGTCGGATGAGTGCTCGACGCCTTTCCCTTGTGCCTTCCTCAGAAGCTTCCTCGTCGATCTTTCTGAGGGCATCCTCGACTTCCTGAGCGGCAATGCTGATTCCAGCGGGGTAGCGCGAAAAGAAGACGGGGACCTTGTAACCTTGAAGCGTCTCGAATACCGAAGGGATGGCTGAGACAGGGCCGGCAGGGGAAGAAGTAGGTGCTACCTGCATCTTGTGTGAGGAGGCTTAGATTGTTCTGAGGTTGTTTTAATGGTAGTGAGTATATAAGAGAATGTCTCTCATTGAAGGTAAAATGAACCCTTTTATGTCAGAAAGGGATAGCCGAGGGCTAGTATGTACATAGTAAATTGTGACTATCCAGGTCTAAACCTTCCCATACGAAGTACTGGCAAATGCAAGTCTCACATCCAAGTATCCCGTACACCGCTAATCGTCGTGAATATTGTTAGTTGAGCTAACGGCGAGTCCGAGAGTATAATTATTAGAACACCAATAGCAAAACTGAATTGAGATGGGTCCGATGTGTATGATCGAGGATCTTCATTGGTACCATTGGCTTCATGATCAACACTGAGCATGGGTTAAAGGATCAAACCCCTGGAAGAAGAGAATGGTGGGATGCCTTCCACTTCGGCTATGATTTTATTGACTCCCTCTTTTCCCATCTCATGGTTTCCCAGGAGTGTTTGGACTCGCTGGTTGAGATGTGATATATCAGAGTGTACAAAATGTGCACTCCGCAGTTCAAGACAATCTCCACTAAGAACACTGCACACAAGGGAAAAAATCCCAATCCCAAGCATCCAAGCGTCTGCTAAGACATCTTGCTGTATACTAGGCCCAGTGTGGCATTGGCTTGCCCCGCTTGAGAGAGGGATCTTTAGAACTTTACAATCCTCTGAGCGTTAGTCGTTTCACCACATTGACGGGATATGTATGGAAGGGGTGCGCTCTACTGGCAATGGGATGTTGCCAAGAATCTCTGACGTGGTTTGATAAGAAAATAGGTAGCCAATGTGCATGACATGACGCTAGTCACGATCCATCTACATATGCAGTCATGATAACCGATGGATCTGTACGATCGACAGTGCCCACAGGTACAACCTGTACACATTCATCCGAACAGGATCCCTGAACATCAGGGTTGTATATGCAGGTTGTTTTCGAATTAGCATCACCGACCAAAATATAGTATGTGAAAATAACACCTGTTAAACAGTACAAATGGAGGATCCACAGTGCACGTACAGAGTATTGGACTGGCATTCTTATAAATAGAATAATCTGTCAATCTGAGATTGATATTGTAAAAGTGTTTGATTTTTTATTTCTCCTCTGCGGAGAATTGGTCTATATTGATAAACTTTTACTTTTTTGCGCTTATTAAATGTCGCCCCAAGAATACCTCAGTTCTATGGAGACACGTGCGCTCGGTACAATATCGGTGATACGACATGATGCAGGTTATATGCAGGAAATTGTGCGAGCAAAATTGACCTGCATGAGTAGCGCTGATCTTGCATCCGTGCAGGTCAGATCCTCGGTGACAAGTACTAAATTAGGGCTTACTCCGTGCAATATAAATCAACTGAGGATTGACTGCAATTGTCAACCATAGGCACTCAATAGAGAATCACACAATATTTGGGGTTTGCAGATTACCTACAATATGTCGAACACTGCAGTAGTTAAATGCACCTAAAATGCCTGAGTTCGTATTTGTAAACTCTCAATAGAATCATTCATCTTCTAGGCGACCCACCAAAGTGTGACACTAATGGCCCACAAGTATGCAAAGTAAATTCGAATACGACAACACACCGCTTGGGCAGCGAGATCAATTTCCGACGGGCATGTTCCAATTAAAAGACATCTTTGGAGTTGTTTGCATAGACCCCTGTCACTTGGTAATGTTACTAGACTTACTGGACAACTTTTGCTCTGAGTCGTAACATGTGAGATATATAGCGCCAAATCTCCCCAGTTTATGTTGCCCAGTCACGCTTAACGCTTTACAAATTCTTCATCGATGCCTCTGTATTCTTGAAAATGGAAATACGTACTTCTTCTCAGGACATAGCAACCATGTTTCCGTTTTTTCTGCGCCTCAAACTCGATGGTTTTGGCAAAGGGGAGACGCTGTCTCTGTTTGCCATAACGATTGCGGTAGTTCTGTCACTGCGGTTTACTGTGCAGTTATACCAAGCAAGAATGAAATTCAGAAGACTTCAGTCTCGAGGCATAGTATGTTTCTTGCCTCGTCTAAAAGAATCAGAATCCTAAGCTAACATCACCAGCCAATCTTGCCTCACTCGTTCTTATTGGGACATTTTCTCATTGTAATCCAATTCTACAGAGATTGGGCCTTTGACGCCAACTTTATCCAGACATTTGGCTTCTACATCATCAAATACTGGCCGAAATTCTTCCCAAATGAGAAACAATGTCCCCCAGTCATTTACCTTGATGTATGGCCTGTTGCTAGACCGATGGCATTTTCCCTACAGGCCTATGTGTCCAATCAAATGGAGATTGGGAGCAGTTTGCCAAAGTCCCCTATGCAAGGAGAGTTCCTGAACCCAATTTCGAATGGGAGGGACCTCAATTGCATGCACGGGGAGGAGTGGCACATGTGGCGCTCGAGATTCAACCCCGGATTCAGTCGAACCAACATCAGAACATGGATACCTGCTATTATCGAGGAGGTTGACACGTTTGCGAATGTGCTCAGAAGCCTTTCCGGTGGTGATGGTCAATGGGGTCAGGTTTTCCCCTTTGAGCAGATATCTAGCAACTTGGCCTTTGATGTTACAGGAAGGGTGGTTCTGTAAGTCTAGCCTATATCGTTTTACCAACATTCACTACTTTTGCTAACCATTGTAGCGACACCCGGCTCAACTCTCAATCGCTTTATCCCTCTCCTTTCACCATCGCTTACCGTGAGCAACTGAGCCGCATGGAGATTACTCTGAGCCCTCGCAAGCTTCTTTGGAGGATTACCCCGTTGTTCAAAATGATTGTAAGACGTAAGAGAAACCAGCTCTTCAAACATCTTCGACCGTTTATCACAAAGGGTATAAACGCTGCTAGCAATAGCCCACGAACTATAATTCGGTCTGCAGTCGAAGAGTACACTGGCGAGCCTGGAGTCAACGGAACCGACCCCAATACCCCGGACGAAGCCTTCATCGAACAGGTCTTCTACCAGCTCATGATATTCTTCTTTGGCGGTGATGATGCATTGTCCATCACAATTCCCCGTGTATTCAGACAACTCCAATTAAACCCCGAATGTGTGGCGAAATTGCAGGCTGAACATGACGCGGCTCTTGGCTCCGATCCAAGCCTTGCTGCAGAAAAGATCCGGGAAGCGCCTCATATCCTGGACTCGTTACAGTATACCCTAGGAGTGATCAAGGAGACACTGCGCATGAATCCAGCAACGATCACAATCCGGGAAGGTCAGCCTTCATTCAACCTGAAAATAAACGGCGAGGATGAGCCATGGCCGACGGATGGGTTCGATCTTTTTGACAGCTCTATCACCATTCATCATGATCCAGCCAACTTCGTCGACCCGCTCAAATTCATCCCGGAGCGCTTCTCCGCCCTAGCAGGCGACAAGTTGCATCCGGCGAAAAACATATGGCGTGGGTTCCAACTTGGACCTAGGAAATGTATTGGGCAGGAACTGGCAGTCGTCGTGATGAAGTTGGTGTTGGTCTTTACTGTCCGTAGTTTTGATATTGAGATGGCTTGGGATAAATGGGATAAGGTGCGGGAGATGCAGGGCTTAAAAGTGGACCGTCAGACTGTGGAGGGTGAACGAATGTATACCACTGGGAAAGCGACATCGCACCCAAAGGATGGTGCACCGATGCACGTACGGATGCGGAAATCTGACAAGAAACAATAGCGCAATGGCTATTCTGGCCTAAGAGATATAAAAATTCGAGAGGAGAGTTGAAAAATATATAGAGAAGCTTGACTGAGACGTATCTTGTTCGGACGAAGTAAATGCTTCTCTCATAACTTGCAAATACATAAATGGGAATATACTAAATGACAAAAACCCAACCTGCCACGGTTGATAAGAAGCTTCCTTCTCCTTACTTGGATATTTTCTCCTTGGCCTGTGCGATGATATCTTCCCACACAGAGAGGTCATCAGAAGGAGTCCTAAGACCCTTACTTGCCGAGGCAATTTCAAGTTCCTCGAGCGAAGGATTGCTACTAGGGAGGTCCAAGATAGGCTCTCCATCTCGAGCAAAGGCAATCAGCTCTTCCTCGGTACCCCATTCGCTCATGGCCATCAGACCGATAGGCACACCGCCATCTGGAGTATAACCAACGGGGCAACTAATAGCAGGGCATCCAGTAAAGTTGGCCAGCCAAACATACTCCATGTTGCGCACAGAGGATTTAGCATCCGATAAACCACGAGACAAGTCCGCCTCACCGCCGTCAATATGCCATCCAGGGATGGGCGTTGTGGGCGAGACGATGAGTAGCCCAGGGTGGGTCTTGAACAGATATGCGAGATGCGTCATGAGGAGATTGCGTAGCCGTTGGGAGGCGAGCAAGTCCTGTGCGGTGATCTGGTACATACCCATAGAGACAAGCACCTTATTCGGGGCTGTGAGCTGGCGGATCTTGCTTGCATCAATGCCAGATGCGATCTCCGCCATGATGGTAAGAGCATGAGCGCGCTGCCCTTCAGGCAGGTAAGGAATTGTGATATCGATAACGTTGTAGCCTTGCTCGCGGTAGTAGTCGAGCGCCCGATCAATCGCAGCGCGCACAGGGCCCTCGGCGCGGTCATTCCAGTCGCGTATAATACCTATTGTCTTTGTCCTCTTGGCCTCAGGCTGCGGGGGATTAGGATAGGGGAACTGCGATGAAATCGGGTCTTCTGAAGCTGGTGCGGGAGTGGCCATGATGCGATAGGCGAGGGCGAGGTCATCGATGCTAGCAGCCATAGGCCCGATAACACCAACAGTGGGTGCGAGGCTTTGGGATGGCGCACCGGAAACACGCCCATGCGAAGGCTTCAGGCCCCAGATACCACAAAATGACGACGGGATACGAATTGAGCCTCCACCGTCTGCGCCAAGCGCAATGGGTACAAGGCCAGCTCCGACAGCATATCCGGAGCCACCGGAGGAACCGCCACAATAGTACTCCTTATTGTGGGGATTTCTAGGTGTTCCATAATTGGGATTGTTGTTGTTTGTATCTGAAGAGTGTTAGCTACTGTAACTCAACGATGACCAATCGGAACGCACCCAGTCCAATCTCATGCATGGATGTTTTTCCGATGATTATAGCTCCGGCGTCAAGCCATTGCTTCACACACCACGAAGTCGCATCAATGCCGTGCTTGAAATCCAGCTTTGAGCCTAGCGTGCGCTTATAGCCGGTGAGGTGCACTTCGTCCTTCACTGCGACCGGAACGCCGTCAAGCGGACCCAACGACTGGCCGTTCTTGTATCGTTCCGTAGATTCCTCCGCTGCTGCACGAATCAACTCAGCCTGAGACTCGAGGAAAGCAGTTGAGTGTTTCCCGGGCGGCTGGGTATCACGTTGGACCAGAGGCAATAGCGTCTCGATGACAACGGTCGGGGTCAGCTCCCCTGAAGAGTAGAGCGCATGATAGTCTGCGGAAGTATAGTATCCATAATCTCCCTTTCTGCGCTCCATAATAGCAGATACCGCTTTCGCTGGTGACTCCGCCTGGCTGGTATTGTCGACTGGAATCACAGTTGGATCGTAGCGGCCGGCATACTGGCTCAGGTGGGGGATTTCACGAATGACACCGAAGCCGGCATTGCGCCAGAAATGGCTTTGGATAAATCCGATATTATGGATTCTGACATAAACAGCGGGGAATTAGCATGTTGTGATTGCTCGATGTAACTCTCCTATAGCTTACAATGTAGCGCCGATGGCTAGAGGCGTGCCGCGGAAGACCGGTAGGACCTGGTCTTCATACTTGTACGGCACATTGGGACCCTCACGTGCTGGAGGGTAATTCAGAAAAGACTGTTCGTTAGAAGGCATAGTGTTTGTTGAAGAATGGTTTGTGTAATTCTCCGGGCTCACATGTTGCTCCACCATGATATCACATGCCGCGGCTAACCTCGTGGCTTTCCCATGTACAAGCTTCGACGCCAATGCAATAGCTACCTAGGTATCTCTGCGAATCCAGAACATGAATTATTAAGATATTTATATGTAATTTTGAGGTTGGATGATACTACATCTATGAGTGTTGTAATATATCTACAAGCTCAACTTAATATTATACTTGTCCATCCCCAGAGCAGCACCAGTTAGCACTGCCGCATAGATGACTAGAATGCCCATGGCCTGCGGTGTGTTAAGATCCAATGTTGGAATGCTGAGGTTCACTGCCCCAGTAAGCAGGTTCGCAATCAGGAACAGTGCAAGGCCACCGCGGTTGAAGGCATGTAGGATGCGACTGGTGGCAAAGGACGTCTGATCTGCCTCGCCTTCCTTGCTAGTTGCTCGGTGGACTGCAGGGAAGAATACAGTCTCGGTCAGGCAGAATAGGAAAAGCTGGGCACTATTGAATGCTGACACCCAAAGCACATATGGCATGTTAGCCAGTCGGCGCGATACTGGGATGTTCGCACCGTAGCCGAATGCGTAGGTAGAATTGAAGAAGAACATGGTTGACCAGAACATTCCTTGAAGAACCAGTTGCATCAGAACAGAGTTCCGTGCCTTCTGGGGCGATTTTGTGGCCGAGGTACCACGAGGAATGATGCGGACTCCAACACCCCTTCCAGCGAGGAAGATCGCAAAATATCCAATGAAAGAAAATACCCCCTCACGGTTCTTGGACAGCAGATCTGGTCCCCGAGGAGACACCAGAATGTAACCCTTGAGATCAGTTGACTCTAGAGCGACTTGATAGAGTACTGCAATTCCAAGTGCAAGCACCTCATATGAAGGGATCAGTGTGATCAAGGAGTCAAAGAGCTCCACGAAAGGAGGCAAAAAGCCAAGCGTGAAGAAAAAGTTCCAGTGCACACCATATTCCGTCACATGTTCCGCATAGTCCAATCCCTTGACGCTCCACAGTCGGATGAGGCCTAGCACAAGCAGAGGAATGGAGTGCCGAGCTGAGCCAATCAATCTCTTATGCAAAGCCAATCTCGGGGATTTCGAGTTCCGACCCTTCAGAACCGCGCGCGCAGAGACTACTCCAGCGGAGAACACAAAAGAGCCCACGCCCAAATCCATTAGAGATGTTCCCCAGTTCTCCACTTTCGCAAAACGACGTGGGAACGCGCGGAAGTCGACTGCAAGGATAGCTATACATGTGACAATCATCATGGCTGCGCGGTAGGTGGTCAAGAATGGGTGAATGGGTAAGGCCTGCTGTTCCTCCTGGGAGCTCTCATTTTTGGCCTTGGATTTGCGGGGCGGTTTGGCCTTTTGGGGTGTGCGCAGACCGTTTCGGGTGAGGAATAGGAGGGCCGCGGGGGAGACGAGGAAGATGTTGAGGAGAAGCGGCGCGGAGGAGTATGCAGTCGTCGCGAATAAGATGGCTAGTACATTGAGGATGAAGTCGGTCGCGAGTGCCGCAGGACCGTAGGGTGTGAAGAAGGATAAGCGGGACTGGAGCGCAGACCAAAGGAGGACAGATGTCTAAAGTGTTCACAGGTCAGAATATATCAATTGCAAGGTAAAGTCTTAAGGTTTCTCACTGAAGCAACGAGTGTGACTGCATTGATCTCGAGTATTGTGCTTCCCGCAAGATTAGACACAAAGGCCTCCTTGCGAGCTTTGTAGCTCGGATCCATGTTAGCAGTTATCAATATAGATAGCTGATCGCCCTCAAATGTTCAGAATATAAAGAATGACGTGGTTGAATAACGGAGGGTTGAAGCTCTAAATGTCATGTTTACCCGCGATCACCTGACCAGTTTACGGTCTTCAACCCCAAGAACAACTGTCAAGATCAATAATGACACTGTGTCAATTCGGTCAAAATCTTGTGGACTGATACATAAATGGCTGGTCTTGAAGATGACTCAAAAGCAACCGTGACTAGCTTTCAGGTTGGCCTTACGGCTTTACAGCTTTACAAGTATGTGCGCAACCAATTGTTCGCAAGTAATTTTGATTTCGATTAAGGAATTTTGTGTAGCAGGTCGTTAGTCTCTAGTGTCTATGAATAATGAAATTTTAGCACGCTGTCCTTGACATCAGTATGCAAAAGAATCATGATCTGGGCTTTCCACGTCCACCACCACCACCACGACGTGCTCCACGGCCACCGCGGCCTCCTCCACGCTTCTTCTCAATACCGCCTCGGTCTCCTTGACCAGCTCCGGGGCTAAGTGCATCACGGCTCTTACCACCTCGGGAAGAATTGCGAGGTCTAGAGGATCCGCTTCTGGCCATCTCATTTGGGTCTGCATAGTTGAAACCGGGAACACCCTTTAATCCCATCTTGCCAATGACCTTTCTGTCCATTGGGGGAGGCTCGGGACATCCCATGCCTTTGACAGCCATCTCGTTCGCGAGTTGAACAAGGCCGGCCTTATCAAGGCGGAGCTGCCTCAGAAGACCCGATCCAGCGAAGAAACCAATGAAAGACGAGTAGGCACGTTGCTTCGACTCTTCATCAATAGTGTACATGGCCTGCAAGACAGCTTTGGAGCATGAAGGAGCGCCGGCATTGATCGCTTCAGTATCGGGGTGGGGCTTGATAGGCAAGTGACGGTTGTTCTTCATGAAGAATGACTCGCCCTCCGTGAGGAGAATGATAGCGCGGCCGTCAGCGCCAGCACGGGCGGTACGACCGACACGGTGAACGTATTGCTCGCCGTTTGATGGCAAACCGACCTGGATGACCAAGTCGACGTTGGGGAAATCCATACCACGACCAATAACATCTGAAGCGAACAGAATTCCGGCTTCGGCCTCCTTGAATTGATTCGTGGTCCTTGTGCGAGCACCCTGGTTGAGTCTGGAGTGGATCTCGAACACCTTCAAATGAACCATGCCCTTGCAGAAGACTCCTGCGAGGAGAGCAACCATGTGTGCAGTCACGCCGAAGACAATGATTTTCGAGCTCTTCTTGATTTCATGCTTGAGCAGGGAGGCAAGTGTAGTGAAGGTCTCTGCCACGGATGGCATCAGCACATGGTACTGGGGAACTCTCTCATGCGTTGGTGCTTCATTCTTATCAATGGTGGAAATGCTGGTGTAGTCTCTCTTCAAAACAATATTGACCACATCCTTGACTTTGGGGGGGACGGTGGCTGAGAAGCACATGCCTTGCCATCCAGTGCTCTTTTGTGGGATGAGCTGGAGGATTCGCTTCACGTCAGCAATAAAGCCACTCTCAAGCATCGTGTCGGCTTCATCCAAAACCAAAGTTTGGATGTTAGATAGCTTCTTGGCGGTGGGAGTTTGAGATAGGTAGTCGCACAAGCGGCCCGGGGTGGCGACAAGAATGGATGGTGCGCCCTTCATGAAGCGCGAATGAGCAGATGCTCGGGCTGTTCCACCAACTGCAACATGGCACTCAAGAGGAGTAGGAAGTTGCGACGTTAATTCATCACACGCCTTTGCAATTTGTTGGGCAAGTTCTCGGGTTGGGGTAATGATCAAGATGCCGACCTTGCCTTTGGGTGGCGCGGAATCACCTTGGAGCAGGCAGTGCAATGCAGGCAACAAGAACGCAAGGGTTTTTCCAGTTCCAGTTTTAGCCTGGACAAGGCAGTCGGTGCGCCAAGTTGGAAGTTCGGTCAAAACACGCTGCTGGACAGGGGTCATGTTGGTAAATCCCATCACGTCAAGGGCTTTGAGGAGCTTGGAGTCCAGCTTTCCAGCCATAGTTGAGTACAACTGAGTGTCATTGCTGAGTTGAAGACCTTCCATGATGGTCAAAGTTTTATATTTCTTGAAGAAAACTGAGGTTAATTGTTTCGATGAAAACTCAAACTCGAAGTGGCGAGTGGATAACTGTTAATGTTTGTTGACAAAACAAGAGAAAGAGGAAGTGTGAGTGAGTGTTATCTTTCTTCTCTTGTTCCTTCTAATTTAGCAAAAGTCAGACTGATGCTTGATGATGTGATTCAATACAAGTTTATATTTGACAAAGAAGAGATTTGTTGCCAAGCATTTAAGATTGTCCCAAAGTCTGGTAAGCACCGTTTGATTGGTTCCCTCAGGCCCACTATCTTCGCTTGATATCACGTGTATTATGGGTCAGTTCCTGGAAAAGTGAGACTAACCGTATATGGTAATTCGCTTGCCTCGGTCGTTTATTTTCGAGGGAACATGTATCAGAGGTCTAGGCATGTAGAATAATTTGTCAAAATTAGATGGATATATATTAGCTACGGAGTATATCCTCGGAGCTTCCCCGTGATGAGCATTTCCTCTCATGACAATATTGCCCGACGCTAGTTCAAAGGGCCTAGGCAACTTGGAGTAGGCTGTTGTGATTATTTCACCATGCACCAAAAACATGCAGCGATTCACAAAGGAGAATAATTTGGAAAAAGGCAACGCAGCATGTCAGAACTTTCATTTTCTAGAAAATCTTGCGGGGTCCTTAGGGGGCATATCCTATCGATATGATTCGCCCGGCAATCCCAGTCGATCACCCAATATGGGGCGAAGACCGATACATTGTACAACATACATACTAGTTAGTTACTAATATTGTACCATGTTGTAGTAAACAATCTCCGATTGGGTTGGAAGGCTGTAAATTTCGTCTAAGGACATCTCAGCTACAATATACCATTTTTCATACGCCATAGATGTCACCCTCATTCCCACCCATCATGAGTGCTAGTCGTTGCCACTTGAGCCAAATAAGTTTTGGTTGCGTGTTTCTATTTCTACGGATCAGAATGAAGCGTGTTCGAGCAATTATCTGCTATGTATAAAATCAAAAATCCTTACTCAGTAAAGCAAGCTTAAGGTGAACGATGGGTTTGACTTAGACCCGGCATCAGATCTGTAATGATCGACCGGGGGTCACGGACCGTGTCTAGAACCAGTGCGAACGTCCGCATGCACGGTGCCAGTTAAACTGTATAGTGTAGGGCCACCATTTTCAAAATAACCGTGCCCGATTCCCCACTTGCATACCTCCACATCGATGGCAATTAATTGTACAACGTATAGGCTCATTGACGTGGCACCTATGTGTGTTTCAGATGATTAATCATCGAGTATCGATAAACATTGCGCTGTCATGGCAGAGTTTGAAATGTGAAAATACAGTACCCATGGATGCTTGGATGATTCTCCGAGGACCTATGTCTCCGGGATAGGCAAAATTCACTGGGTGGTCAATAGGATAATGAGAAACTACAAAATGCAGATGTCGCTGGCTGCCTAGGTTCATTTGTAGCGGACACCGTGCTGCTCAAATAATAGGAAATTTGCAGGAGTCCCCTGCTAAGGTGGCCCAGGATCATGGTGAACATAAACCCACAATAATAGGAGAGTCAGAACCTCGCCACTACAAATTCTCGATCAATGCTCTTCCAACGACGGCTGCACCAGATGCTCTTCTTTATGTTGTAGAGATATTAGTTTGTTGATACCACATGCGTATACTATCCAAATAATAATCCGGGACCTCCGGATACCTGGAGGAGACGAATCCTCGGGGACCATCGGCGTTCAGATACCGGGGGCCAAAGGATTCTTGTCCGCCTTTACTCCGTACGTATCTCCACAAGGACGCGGATCGTCGCCGATGGCTTCTGAATGCCTTAAGGCGCAAGGTGTATTTTAGTGCTTTTTTTCTGTTACCTCCCCCCCCACCCTTGATAGATCAACAGTTGTCAACTTGTAGCACTCAGCCAACATCCGAATTTGAAAAGGAGTATATAGTAAATGATCATCATTACGATGCCCAGCGTGGGCCTAACAGAAGACCCTTCAATGAGTGGTAGCCCATTCATCTGGCAGCAGTCGAAAAAAGCGGACCTCGCAAATTGGGGCGGCTCACCGTAGTGGCTGAAAAGACAACGCTATAGCGATGGCCCGTACTCCGTAGCAATCCACACAGTTCGTCTATTTCTCCACGCTTATTGGGCGCTTAGAGGTCTCGCTTTCGCCGCATCATCGGGAGATTTGCCTGGCTTGTTAATCAACCTGGAGGAAATGAAACCTGTGTTGGGGATTGGCGACATTCTAGTCTTATCAAGGCCATTCCGATCCCGACAAGGTTATGATGAACCCCTGAAAGCACAACGTCTTGTTTTCGTCTACCCCGTACAGTCCTCCAAGCTAATCTAGCCCTGGATTCGCACGATCTGTCACGTTCTGCCTTGATCCCTGCTCGGCCCGGAAATAGTTTCGAGCCACCCACACGCGATCTTTCAAAATCAGTGATCCACCACTTCCCCTCATGTTAGGCTCCAGTTCTGGGTCTATGGTCGCCAGCGGGGGGTCCTCATTGAAAGGCTCTGGGCAACGGAGGGGAGCTTTGTGTCGAGTCTCGGGTATGCGAGGATACCAATAACCATGAGCTCTCAAGATGAACCACCAGGGAAGAGGCGTGAGTCTCGATCGGGGACAAGGAAAGTCTCAACTCTGTCAGCCGAACAACTAGAGCGAAAGCGTGCCAACGATCGAGAGGCTCAGCGGTCCATTCGCCAACGCACCAAGGAGCATATAGAACAACTCGAAGCCCAGGTCTCTGCGCTCCAGTCACAGATTGCGGAGATGCGGCTGCAAAACGAACGGTTCGATGAAGTAGTCCAACAGAACGCCTTTTTGGAGAATGAAATGGTCCGATTGAAGCATCAAGTTGCTTCTTTAACTGGCCGATCGGAATTTGCATCAACTAATGAACCCATGACTCCGTTTCGAAGTGAGTGGTCTTTGGAAGAAGCCTCGAGTAGTGCATTACCGGGCATCCCAACAGCGGGGGCACTACTACCGCCACAATTCACTGCAACATCCCACACTCAAAGACCATCGGGCCTTTCATCATCATATCGAGGGCCTCATCAGCAAGACTGGCAACAACCATATCCGTCCACAAGATCGCCGTCGCTTGGTGCAGCCTCCAATCCGGAATTCCCTAGCCGTATGGAGCCATATCCAATACATGGTCAAATGCATCAAGGACAACCAATACGCCCACATCAGCAACAACCGGAATCTTCTTTCCCCGAATTCGCTTACAGCAACCGGTCACTCTCCATGTCAAGTGCTAGCCCCGTTGCTCAGCCAACTCCCGCCCAAGCGTACCAATCCTCCGCATCAACGTACCCGCAACCGATGCCTCAACCGCAACAGACAGATCCGACATACGAGTATCCATGGGTGCCTCCATCATGAATAATACATGTTCCAAACAGCCGGGGGAGTTCGAGCGCATTCTATTTTGGGTGAAAACACAATGTCTTGCGAGTTCAGGCTAGAATGCAAAACTCTCGATCCGGTCTCACAGCATGTGAGTTTCGTTCAAGAACCCGAATACGAACAGGTGTACGGAGTGCTGATCTATAATATAGATCTCAAAGCAATCCTCGTTCTTGGACTCCAGCTTTGTCGCGGAAATCGTGATTGAAATTGCTTTTCACACAAAAATCATAACGGAAATAACAGCCGTGCCGCAAAAAAGTAAGCTGACGGAGGAGCCCCGGTCCCACCTCCGGTCCATCTACAATATACGAGTCGAGCACTCGGTGGCAGACATCTTGGATTCCACGCCGGGGAATTATTGTTGGGATCGGAGATACAAACAAGCCTTGGCGCATTGGCATGACTGGGGCCATCATTCGCGCTGCTCCTTTACTCTGCTTGCATACACATTTTGGCATTTATATATCGCAGTGGGGCGAATTTGAAATGGTCACAGGGATGACCCATGACGGCTCTTCATGTTCTGTATACCCCAAAGGGAGCGATGAGTACATACCCAAAAAGAAACAAACAATACGCCGCGGTGTCCATCCATGGATGAAATCAAACTATTTATAAACAGAACCATTTAGGTAATTTAGGTAGATATTCAACCCCGTCTCCTCTAGTTCGTGTACTGCTTCTGGAGAAGCTTGGCAATGGTCTGCAGCTGGATGTTGCTGGTACCCTCGTAGATAGCACCGATCTTGCTATCACGGAACATCTTCTCAGCAATACCCTCACGGACAAAGCCCATGCCACCCATCCACTCTACAGCAGAGCTAGATACCCGGCCGGCGACCTGAGAGGCGTACAGCTTAGCCATGGCGGCATCCTGGACGAAGTCCTGGCCAGCTTCCTTCTTGCGGGCAGCGTTGTAGACGAGAGCGCGAGCAGCGGCAATCTCAGTGTATGCCTGCGCAATCTGGTGCTGCATGCCCTGGAAGTTTCCAATGAGCTCGCCGAATTGGCGGCGGTCGTTCCAAACGTAGCTTTGGTTGTGGTCAGCTAATCGAATTCATACGCGGGGGTATATAGTACAAGAAATCTTACCGTGCGGCGTTTTCCCATGCGCCGAGAGCCAGACCGGTCATCTGGGCGGCGATACCAATACGACCCTCATTCAATACGCTGATGGCGTACTTGTATCCCTGTCCCTCCTCACCGAGCAGGTTGCTCTTGGGGATGACACAGTCGTCGAAGTTGAGCACACAAGTGCTGCTAGCACGGATTCCGAGCTTTTTCTCCTTCTTTGCGATTGAGAATCCGGGGGTATCCTTCTCGACAATGAAAGCAGTGATACCCTTGTAGCCCTTGCTGGGGTCAATATTGGCAAAGACAATGAAGATACCAGCTTCCATAGAGTTGGTGATCCACATCTTAGAGCCATTGATCTTATAACCATCAGCGGTCTTCTCGGCCTTAGTCTGGAGCGCGAAGGCATCGGAACCAGACGCAGGCTCGGAGAGACAGAACGAGCCAACAGTGCCGGTAGTGAGCTTGGGAAGCCAGGTACGCTGGGCCTGGGCATCACCGTACTTCATGATCGCAGTGTTGACCAGTGTGTTGTGAACATCGACCAGCACACTGACACTAGGGTCGACGCGTGCCAGCTCCTCAATGGCGACGATCGCCGCGGTGAAGTTCATCCCGGCGCCGCCAAACTCCTCTGGCACCTCAATACCCATCAAGCCCTGCTCGAAGAGCTGCTCCACGACCTTTGGGTCCATAGTCTCGGCTTCGTCCATTTCCCGCACCTTCGGGCCGATTTGCTCCACTGCGAACTTCGATACTGAGTCGGCCATCAGGGATTCTGTCTCGGACAAAAGGGTGATCGGCGTCGGGGTGAGCTCGGAGAGGTCGACCTCCCGCCGGCGGGGGGTAGTTGAGAATGCATATGCGCTATAATGGGGGAAAAAATCTTGTTAGCAAATATATTTTCAATAGCATGTGCGCTTAGGCTAGACAGTACCTCTGTACGGGCCGGCCAGCAGCAAGTCGTTTACCCGCCAGGCGGACTGAGGGGGTACGCGACAAAGGTCGCAAAGCGCGAATAATAGAAGCCATTGTGAATAAAGGGGAAACAAGCTCAATGCGCTATGAGGAAGAAAAGGAAGGAGGGAAAAGGCGACCTCGGGAGGGAGGTAAAGGGCATAATCACGAGGGTCACTCTGAGCCGAGGTCGGTTACTGGCGGCGTTGGGGATCCGCGGGGAGAAATGTGGGGCGAGTATTTTTTAGCCTTGGCTGGATGAAGGGAGATGCCATTGTTAAATCTCCATATCCTGCAAATATCATCAAACTATCAATACAAAATATATGCACAACCTCAACTGCCATGCTAAATAGGTCTACTGAAAGTGTTGACCAAAAAAATTATAATATACATTGAATGATTATCATCAAATAACTTTTCGGACATCCTGACTCTCCTCACGGATTAGGTCTTCAGCAGAGACACTACTGTCTCCTGACGATGGGACTCCCTGACCTTCTACATCCTCGAAACGAGTCACGATATCAGTTCTGATCATAACATCCTTCGGTCCATTGACAATATGTTCCTTACTTCCATTCGGCCCACCGGATGTGTTGAGCTCTATCCAGCCCGGGCCGGCGTTTTCGTCGAATTGCCTCCTCCCCCCATATGTGTTGGACTGAAAATTGGAGTGACTTGCGGGGTTGGACTTGTTCGTGCCATATGCAGCGTGTCCGCTCGAGTTGCGGTACTGATAGGGAGTTGACGTTTTCTTGGAGGTGAAGCCCAGTCGCTGCAACACCCTTTCCATGAGTGGTCGGATGGGTGGTACGCAACCAACAATGATGACAATCCAAGCCTCCGTCGAGGCCCAGATAAGGAGGGGGGATTGAGCGTCTGTTGGAAATATGAAATTAGCATTTTTCAAGGTGGAGTTGTGGATTGTGACTTGCAGGTGATATCCGTTGTTTCGGTCAATGCCTTGAGCTCATATGTCTTGACAGCGGAGCAAACGGCCGCTCTACATGCGGGGAAATGTTAGATTGGGAACAAACTGAAGTGCTGAATGGGAAATACTTACATCCAACCCAATCCCATGAGGATAGACAAGGCAATCTTGATTCGCAGCTTCATCTGAAGCTTCCAAAAAAGATGAACCGGGTACGACGCCAGCAAGGCGTCGGTAAATGAGTTGAAGCCTAATTCATCAGCAAAGGCTCGACAGTTGAATGTTTTGATGTGAAGTGAAAACTCACTAGCCTGGAAGAACGAATAGTTCTGATTCATTTTGCGCCCCGGGTCACATGTCCCTTCAACACTATCATCCCACAATTTGTGCATTGGCTTGCATTGACCCAGAATGGTTCCAAGAACAGCGATGTTAATTATCCCAATGAACACACCCGTAATAATCAAGAACCACGGCTTTTTTTCATGACGACCACGAATCTGGATAAGGAATGCGAGAATTGCAAGCTTTCCTAGCATACTGGCAGCTATTGCGAGTAACTGGAATACCCACGACCAGTGCAGTGCTGTAACTCTCTGTGGGTCTGATAGATCATCCAAGTGATGGCCCATTCCAGCATTGACTGAAAACTGCAGAAACACTTGAGCAGTGATCTCGGTTGCCTGTGAGACACACTCATTAGCATATACATTGGGATCGAAACATCTCATGAACAGAAAGAAGACCAAACACTGACCACCGTCAAACTAGCGACAGCAAAGTCCCATCTGAAACGCCCCACGAATTTCCAGTTACTCAGAAACCGAAGGCTGAAAAGGAATACACCAATGCATGTCTCTGTCCAAGAAACTGCGAGGATGACAGCAGAATTATCTCCCGCCATTTCTGGCCTTCGGAGAGGGAATACCTCCACAAGTTCTCGTACAGTATAGGGCAAAATCAAAGAGAAGAAGCAAAATCGCCAAATCAGGACTGGGTGCATATGCCTGATATTACAAGCATCCTGTAGGGAATGCAGGACGCCTAGAACGAAACCACTAAAAGGCACTCCGTGGCCCCTCAAACCGTCACAGTGAACAGGGGTTGATTATCCTATCGAGTCTTGCTAACTATTGGAAAAGTGTAATGTTCCAAATCAGGCGCCCACAGCTCGGAAACATTACGGCGTACGCTGAAGGGATTTCTGCCCAGGTGCGTCCAACGAGAAAATTTCCGCTCGTAATAAACCAAAGTTAATAAGTTATTGAGTTAACTAGTCAATACCCAGATGCTGGTACCCAATCCTAGCCCTGAATATTAATATCCTTGCAATTCATCTAAACCAATCCTCGTCGAGGTAGAACGGAAGCTGGCGACTTCTTACATGGATTCTAGGGTGTTCGGTTGTTGATTGGCTCCCAACACGTAGAAATTTTGGTCCGCGGTAGATAATCCTAGCTCGTGTGGCTTTTTGAGCAGGAGTCTAGAGAGGAATAATTTGGAATTGAATCTTAGTGGTCGCAAGAGCCGAAGTGGTGGCACGAGCGAGATGAAGTGGATTTAGCCATTAATGGCTAATTGCCAATATAGAGAACGGAGTGCTCTGTAAGGGGTTGCAACATAGATCAATAGCCAAGAGCCGAGGAACAAGGATGTACGAATTTTTATATAGCATGTGGATCTTCTTATATTAAATTACACAAGAATAGTTGGCCACGTTTGGGGGCCTTGTAATGTCTTTTAAAATAAATGTCTTTCATTCACAGATATTTTGTGCCCCTTCTTAGTTTCGTAGATAGACCGCAGAAAAAGGCGGGGAAAAGGCACAATTTGTGAAATGGTCTTTTCCAAGTATAACCATTGATTATAAGTATCCATTCAAGCGGGAAAGGCGACGATCGATTCAGGAATGGTAAATCTACCGACGATGGGGACAAACCATCATCGGACTTTGAACTAACGCATAGACGTGTTTCTCGTTTTGGGGCCATGCCCTCCCAGTGCAAAATGAGCACGTGCCGCCTATGTGGTCCGTACCTAGGTAATTCTATGGCTTACATACAGAATTTACCAATAAAATTTAGCCTCTAGAGCTTGACTCTAGGCAGAAACAAAATTGGAGACTATGCCATTGTAGCCACGGTCTTCCAGCAGAGTATGTGTATTTTGTACTCCGGGCCCTATATTTACCCACAAGACCCGGGATCGGCGGGCCGCAGCGGGCAAGTGCCCGGGCCAGACCCTGGGTTTCATTTAGAGCCAAATGTAACCGAGAGCCGAATAATGTAACCTAAAAAACATATTAAAACCACTTGTGAACCACTTGTGGATGCGTCAAGGCATTTATCGTGGCCTTTTTATAAGCCGTGTCTTATACTAATTTGTACAGAGTATTGTTGGCTTTTTTTTAAAGAATTTCAAAACATTCATGCATCGATTGCGCTCTAGAATTTGATAAACTTCATTTCTTTTAAACTTTATTCGAAACTAAAAATCTAGCGACCTGGAAAAACTTATAAAAAAATACGCATAGAAATTTTTTGGGCGTAATCTCCTGTACATACTAGAGTAATTTACCCATTCTCCCCCGGATTAGATGACTAGATGATACCAGCGGCCCGTAGGAAATCTTTCCGGTGTAGCCAAATTCGAATATCCTTACCCTTGAGATAGAAGAGAATGTAGACTAAGTAGACTACAACGTTGATAGCCGCAACTGTCATGAAGACACTCAAAACACCACTGGAAGTCATATAATCGTTGATCACCCACGTCCAGATCCACGCGATGCAACTCTTCAGAGCAGCAATCGTGACCATGATCTCGACGGAAAGCTAAAAACTCAAAAACAGAAACGATTAGCAGGTATACTATAAAAGTGGTGTAGAAGCAGAAAACGAAAGTTCCTTACCTCTTTGTGACAATCTAGGGCGTAGTTCATCCCTAGCGTTGTTCCCATCTGACTTCCTACCGAGAGAATGCCGGCTCCCACAACAGGCATCGCCCAGTGCATTTGATGCTCATAGGAAAGTCCAAACCAGAGAGCACCAAAGAATGTGAAAAACGCTGCCAATAGACAGGTCGGTAGCCGCATCTCGGGCTCACGAATACCATTATTGCGCTTGGTGAAGAACGTGGCAACCCAATCACCCCCTGGACCAGAGAAGAATACACCAAAAAGAGAGCCAATAAAAGGCGACAGGAAGAAGAGACCCTGGCTATTGGAATTGAATCCGTAAGGAGGGGGCGCAAAGAGCTGTGCCACCGACGCGCCGAGGATGACATTCCAGCTAAGAGCCATTCCATAAATACAGCATGACCAGAGGACGGTGGGATAGGCCAACAGCACGAATGGGCGCAGGAACACGTGGAGAAGATTCACATCTGGATCCCCGCTGTTCCAGAACTTGAGTTCTTGCACAAAGGTCTTTTTGGGAACTGGACTTGACTCCTGGACCAAAACCTGGTCTTTACCCACATTGGCTTTTGTGGTGTTTTGCAATGGATCAGGACGGGGTCCATCGAACTTGGTTTCTGGCATGAAGAAGAACATGGAAATCAGACTAGCACTAACAAACATGGTCACAATCCAGAAGGCCCAGTCCATTCCAAGTGCCTGCACGATAAATCCAGAGAACATAGGTCCCAGCTCATTACCTCCTAGGACAGCGAGTCCGTAGATGGCAATGAGCTCTCCACGATTATGCAGGAAGAACATATCAGTCACTGTAGACGGGACAATTGACTCAATAGGCGCTTGGAAAGCGCCCAGAAACGCACGCCCAACCAGGAAAACAGTGTAGGTTTTGTTGGATGCAACGGCCAGCCAAATACAGGCGATGGCCATAAGCAAGTTCGAGAAGATGTAGATGGGACGGCGCCCATACTTGACGGCAAACGGCATCCAGACAAAATTCCATACACCCTGGTTGATCAAACAAGCTCCGTTTGCATAGGTCAATTCCTGGAGGGACTTGCCGAAGGTGGCAGACAATTGCATCATACCTGTAGTACTAATCAGCATGGCTCAACACAATCAAGATTATAGATGATGAATACACACCGGCTGCCATAATAGGACCTGTAATAGCACCCATAAATGCAAACCAACAGCCATTGAAGAAAGTCAAGGTTTTCTTCTTAGTCGACCAGTTCAAAGGGTCGTTTGGATCGTTGATCGAAGGTTGAGGGACCAATAACATGCGACCATCGCCTGTTTCACGATGCTTCAGCTGGTGAAGCCGCTCAGAAATACTTCCGTTGTCACTTCCATCGAACAATATCTCTGTTCCAGGTGCGACATGGAACTGCCCCGCGACTTTCTTCTCGGACTCGTGTTGTGAGCTATCCGACATATTGAAGATGCCCCAAGGGCGTCCCTCAAAATTTGATGTAAAAAAATCAGAACGAAAATCAGCAACTAAAACACAAAGAAAAAAAGAGCGAACTTGAATACTGCCTCGCGTGGAAAATGGTGGAACTCTCCTTTTTAATACACGGAGTATACTATAGTACATGGTGGCCATCCCCCTTCTAGTCCGAAACAAGAGTATGTACACCGTACTAGAAATGCAACCAAAACGGCTTTGATACATTCTTTCGGCGTCGTGCACAGAATCCCTGTATTTTTGAGGACCAATTATAACTCTATCCTGATAACTAGCATTGCGCTATGCAGGGATGCATGTGGCTGTCGTAATAATGGGCTGAGTGCGTGTGAAAAATAGTTAGCTTCTCTTCATCCCGCCCTTACCCCCAAATACGCTACTATATTTCAGTGGGTTCTCTGGCTTCTAATAAACACCTATCAAAATTTCGTAAGACCATCTTTGAATCCACTGAGGAGCAAGACCTAAACAACTGGTCCCACGCCCCTGGCAAATATATTTCGCGTCTTTGATTGGCGATAAAGCATTGCATGTTCTGGCTCACTTCGGGACTTCCCCTCCATTCAGCTTCATACATGTACCCAGCATAAGTCGTGCATTTGAAAATTGAAACCGAAACAGCTGGTAAACTCCACGTTACCCTAGAATAAATTAAGTCGAAATCCATTCCACAAAGATAATGGCTCCATCCCGAGACTTTGCATCCCACCAGACTGGTGGCTCTGGCAGTTTACCAAGTTCTGTGCCAGTCCTCATTGTGGGCGGAGGTCCAACTGGCCTATTGCAGGCTCTCCTTCTGTCCCGCCTAGGGGGTATGAATTTTTTTTGAGAAGTCAATAGGAACATTTTGTTGACATGATCCATGTAGTTCAATCATTGATCATCGAGCGTTATCCCGAGCGTCTAGCTGCTCCAAAAGCCCACGCAATCAACCCCCGCTCTTTGGAAATCCTGCGTCAATTTGATCTAGGCGAGAAGCATGTTCGCCAGCTAGGCACTTCACGAAATGATAGCTCCTCGGTCAACTTCCTCACCAATCTTTGCGGGGATGCGATCGGCAGGCTCCCGTATGAGCGAATGGATCCTACTGTCTTGAATGACACGCCAGAGGTACCTTTCATCTATGATGAGAGAATGCCGGGAACAGTACTGACCAATTGAAACAAACAGATGATCCATAATATACCCCAGCCAGCGCTAGAGCAAGAATTGTCCAACTTTATCACGAAGGATCCCAATGTTACCTTGATCAAAGGATTCAGTATTCATGCTGTGGAGCAGGTAAGTAAAGGGGCATATTTTTTATTAACGAAGTAACGTGTTTAACTGAAACCCAGAATGAAAATGAAGTTGTGGCGACTATTGAGCAACGCTCAACTGGACAACTCCATCAAACAAAGTCCCGTCATCTCATAGCCTGTGATGGTCGTAGAAGCAAGGTCCGCGAGCTGCTCGGTATTGAGTCGGAGAGTGAAGACTCGGACCAGACGATGATGACTATTCATTTCAATGCCAATCTGCGACCCGTCGTTGGTGATCGTGTCGGTATGCTTTACTGGATAATGGACCCTATAGCCGCGGGCTTTATCATCGGCTATGATCTTGATGGGATCCAGGTACATATTAGCCAGGTAGACGTTGAACAGAACCCAGTCGAGTCGTGGACAGAAGACATGTGCAGGTCCACAATCCGCAGCGCTATCGGTAAAGATGATGTTCCGTTTGATGTCCTGAGCTATCGCCCTTGGGTCTTCCGTCGACAAGTGGCTGTCACGTTCCAACAGGGAAATATCTTCTTGTGAGTGTTTGGAATTGGATGTTGTCTCCGTCGAATCCTTGTTGATGCTTTTTCTTCTGCTTCCTCTTTTAGAGCTGGAGATGCTGCTCACTCATTTCCCCCAACTGGTGGACTAGGCTTGAATTGTGGTCTTGCAGATGTTCACAACTTGGCCTACAAGATTGCCTCGGTTCATCGAGGAGTGGCAACACCATCTATACTTTCAACATACACTGCCGAACGACGGGGTGTTGCGGATTCCTATTCCAAGCAGAGCGTTAAGAATGGCAAGGAGATTTTCGCACTGTTGCGGAGTCTCAAGACCGCTTGTGTTGAAAATGTTGTGCAAGCGCGAAGGAATATGATGGCAGCGTTGGCGGATCCGGCCCAACGGAAACAGGTTGAGGCAGGTATTGAAGGACAGAGGGAGCATTTCGATAATGTGAGTGGCTTTGTTTTATTCTACCCCTTGCTATCGAAGATTGGTCTTTCTCATGCTCTTGCTCATAGCTGGAGCTTCATATTGGATATGTGTATGGAGCGACCAAGCCACCTTCTCATGCTTCTCATTATTCTCCGAAATTCGTGCCCGGGGCGCGCTTGCCTCATGCTTGGATCACCTTCCCAGAGCAGGTATCCGCGGAAACAGAGGCAGCCAAACGTTCTTCACTACCTCAGGAGCCGGTTGATGTGTCCTACGTCAAAGAGCTTGACGCAGATCAGGTTCGCGCTTGCCAGTGGAGTACCCTAGATCTCTGTGGCTCTGACTCTTGGACCTTGATTTTGGGGAAGGAGCAGCAAAGGCCTCACATTATGCTTTTTCAGAAGCACTGTAACGTGATTGGCTTACCTCTGAACACCTGGTGCCTCGGATCAGACTTTGAAATCATCAGGCAGAGCTGGTTCGCTGATGAATTGATTGATGGTGGAGGAATTCTGATTCGCCCTGATCAGCACATCCTAGCAAGAGTCTCTTTTGAGACAAATGGAGAGGACTTGATTGCAGAAGTGAACAAACATCTTGGGATTTCATAGTGTCAGAAATACAATAGAGCAACACCATAGAGATATATCAACTTTTTGTTTATTCCGACAAACATGCGTTCGCGGTGATCCCCGCAATACCAAGCATTTTAGGCTGTTGCTAAGCTAAGAGAAGGCGTGCTTGATCAATAAAGAGAATAACCCCTGCTTGTTGAGATGTGATGATATGATATGGCGCTTTGACTCGGAATCGTTTGAGCCGCATTCCACTCCACAAAGGCCCTTGTTTTCCCCACATGGTACTTTGTATGTCTCTGTTACCCTTCCCCTCTAGAAAGGATAGGGCTTAATCTTGTATAGTTTTCCTTTTAGGACGGACATTGGCATTGTGTATATTAAAACCCAAGCAGCGTCTCGTCAGCTTGATCAGTCTCAAAGTCAAACCGCACCAAATCCTCCTTATAGGGAATGAAATATGTGCTTGTGACCCTAAAATAACATGAGATCCTGTCATTTACTAAGGAATCGAGGCATTAGGGGGTATTTGTTACCTTTCATGCTCACTGCTAGCTTGATACTCAGCCAATGCTGCTCGGTTCTCGTGGTAGCTCACTAGAGCATATTGAAATCCTTTGCTCTTTTCAACGGGGGTTGTAATTGAGGGGCCTCCAACAATAAGCCTTTGGCTTTTAACGCAAGGCAGGGACTTCAGTGTCTTGATTTGCGAAAGGAACTCCTGCTTCACTCCGTCTCCGACATCCGCGCGGAACTTGAACAGAACTATTGAGGTCAGTTGAGGGCTTGTGTGTTTTCGGAAATGAACCATACCAATGTGAACGAGAACCATTTTGAATATCAGCTTAATCAAAAATATAAAAATGATGGGGTTGTAGAGTTAGAATCGGAATGTAGTTCCCTTTTAAAGAACGCGACGGATGCCATCCGCCCTTGGCGGAAGTTTCCCGCTTTGACCCAAACCTCGTTGATTCCGGTATTTTTCTTCTTTACAAACTGTTCATTTCGAGAGACACTGTTGGTTCTAGCTTATTTTTAATTCATATTCATGAATCTGAAAGTTCAACGCTCATAAGGGACCCTATCAGCCCCGCTATGGACTCTCCACGGCGGTCTCGGAACCGCGCCGCCTGTCGGAGATGTCAGCGACGGAAAATCCGCTGTGACGGAGATCTTCCCCGCTGCGCATCGTGTACAAAGGCTAATGCAGCCTGTGTGAATGATGGAAAACAGGAGGTTAATCGCACGTATGTATTATCATCCGCCTCGTCGCCTAGATACTCCCGCTCTTGTTTCTTTATTACTTCCAAACTAACAGCTGATCAGGTACATTGCGAATCTACAAAAGCGAGTACAGTGGTTAGAATCCTTAGTGAAGGAACACGATCCAACTGTCCAGCTAGAGGATGGCCCGCAATTAGACCTGTCAGATATCTCACAACTCGAGCCCACGGAGGAAAGCACTCAACTTGAGTCTACCATTCCACATGGTGACCACATTCGCCGGTCAATAACACCTCACCATGAACAACCCGGGACAGCAAACCCGCAACCATATCGGACAAATTCAAGACCGGCCCACGAAATTGGGCTAGTCTCTCTTTCTTCGGGCGAACCGAGATATATCGGTCCTTCGAGCGGATATTTCCTAGCAAACCTCATATTTTCGAGTGCTGGGCGACGAACGGGCCCATCGGGAAATCATGGAAATGCGAAAAAGCCAATGTCGCTTTCATCCGAATTTTTCAATAGCCCAGCTCCGCTGCCAAGTCGCAAAGACGATGCTGTGGAACTTACTTCAAAGTACTTTGCTTCGGTGCATCTCGTATACCCATTTCTACACCAACCGTCCCACATGACAAGACTCGAGAGAATGTATAGCAATGAATGTCTCCCCAACCCAGCGGATGCTTTTCACGTCTACATGGTGCTCGCAATAGCAGCCTCGGATGTCTCCAGGCGCTTCCGACTACCTCTTCCGGCCGAGGGGTATTATACAGCGGCTACACAGTATTTCGAACGTGCATGTGCCGATGGCTCTTTGGAGGGACTGCAGAGTCTGCTCTTGCTGATGGTATACGGACTTCATAATCCCTCGTGCGACATCAATGTCTGGAGCCTCAATTACCAATGCTTAGGCTCCCTCATCGACCTGGGTCTTCAGCGCGATGTTCGCGCATCATCAACATTCTCCATCTCGTTCTTGGAGCAGGAGATGCGGACTCGCATCTTCTGGGTTGTATACAGCTTTGATCGTACATTGGGGACGATGATGGGGCGACCGATCGGGGTGAGAGACGAAGCGTGCGAGCTTCGGGTAAGCGATTCGATACTGGGTTGATCCCTTAACAAACCTTGGCTAATAGTACCTTTAGCTCCCTTCAGATGTCTCTGATGGCGATCTTTCTGAGTCAGTTTGTGATGAAATATCCCGAAATCGCACAACTTCTCACATGACATTCTCTATCCACCTATTCAAACTCGCCCGCATCAACTCTGAGATCAAATATGTAATGCACAGCATCTGCAGAGATCCCCCTCGATATGCCTACCCACCGGTACCCGACATCCATCTGTGGCAGAAAGAAATGGTCGAACGCCTTCAGACCTGGCTTATAGGTATCCCCCATGGAGCTGCAGGCGATCCTATCACGAAAATATGCGAAACAAAGTATCACGAAATGATGATCTTAGTGCTAAGGCCTAGCCCTGGGATTCCCGAACCATCGGAAGAGATCCTCGCGCGATGTTTCCAGCACGCCGTAGATCTTCTGCGCGGGTTTGGGGAGCTTTACCGACAGGAAGCTCTCTTATACAGCCGACTCATTGTTCACTCCGTTTTCTTGGGCACGCTAATAATGCTACACTGCTTGTGGAGACTGCCCCATGTTGCATCAAGGGTGCAGATTGATGAGGTGGTCGCCGATACGAGCATCAGTTTGAATATCCTAAGTAGCATTGGGGAATACTGGGCCGAGGCTAAGCGTGCAAGGGATTGTATCCATGAATTATCCAGTGCGACTGTCCAGAGACTTATCAGGACGCGAAGTTTGGAAGCCCCTTCAAGATTGACGAGGCAAGGCAAAAATCAATCAACTTCCAGCACAGGAAGATCACAGCGGCTGCAAATCTCCAACGAGGGAATGGAGCTGCCTTCTACGCTTCGCGCTGACTCGGGAGTTGAAACCCTGCCTCTGAACTCCTTCACGGACGATTACGATCCACACGTGGATTCTATGAGTTGGCTGCATGATTCCATGCCCGGTGGCTTTATGGACTTCAGCGGGGCTCCAGACTTTGACACTCTCATGTGGGAGGTCTTTAATGCTAATTCAGGATAAAAGAATATTGAAATATAATACTTTACATAATAAATCACACGTTCAAGATATATTGATGCATCGATTTAGTCTGTGTACACGATGACCTGGCCCACTAGCTAAGCCGAAGGAAGGACGAATTCAAGCAGCCTGTACATCTTTAAAAGTGACATTGACCTGACTTTCGACATCAATATCCTGAGGTGTGAGGTCCAGCGGCGCAGAGTCCTCCCCAGGCTGATCCCCAAAACTAGCAGCCAACATGTGTCTGTGGGTGGCCCTGTAAGGAGTCATTCCTTGGTCGGCAATTTCCACCGCCAAAACAGCGCGTCCAAGCACCTCCGAATAGTCATCAGCTTGTTGAATAGCATCCCGGAGTGCCAATTTGCGTGCTTCCGAAGCCAGTCGGCTGCCGGTTGCGTCCGTGAGACTCCAATCCAGACCGTCGATTTCCACTTTGGGATAAACCAGTAATTCTTCGATCGCATGGTTCAATTTGGCGAAGTCGCGGAAGACAGCTTTGAAGGATATACTGGCATGGTGTGGGTTTGGCAGGGGCTGGTCCTGTCTGTCTGTTGACTTTGTCCAGGTTCTGATACTCGTTGATGAGAATTTTGTCAGAGGGGCCTCTGGATTATCGTCGGTCTGGGAGTAAAATGTTGATTTGATCCAGTTTTGTAGGTTGGTTGATGAGGTTGCCACTTCTTTGGCGACTTTATCTTGCTCGGCTCCATTTCCCTTTACTGAAAATCTGAGAGTTCCACGTTCTGGGGCGTGGGTGACGGATGATTTGCCGGTGACTATGATTGTTAGGGGAGCCATGATGGTTTATGTAGAATTTAGGAATATTTTTCAGCTCTAGCTATATTTATATACGAGAGTGGAACCTATCGGCTCGGAAGGCAACAATATCAGAGTCAGTGACCATCACGTTGCTCAACGCCAAGCCCACAGCCCCTCTGACATTCCACTCGTCTATGATCTTCAACTTTATGATATTTCAACCTCTAATCTTCTAGTTGATAGCTATGTCTCAACTGCCATTCAGCAATAATGTATTTATCAGCATGTTGGATCTCGCTCGTCTTCTCCCAGCCTCTGCTCGAACGGACCATAAACTCGTGAGCCCCACAGATGAGATCCAAAAGTTCTTGAAGAAGGATCTGATGGTCAATAAACTGAATAAAATTGACAAATACCTATGGCTGGCTGGTCAACCTATGCCGCCCAAGCCCCTCAATTACCAGATTGCGACCTCGCGCGAAATCGTCGTGGACGAGAGAATCGACGTGCATATGGTCTGGGAGCACTCTCAACGTATCCATCTGAAGCCACTGCCACGATATCTTCTTGATTCTCAGTTTTAGGGGTCGCATCTTGTTTGCAAGGGGCCCTGTTGTGTGTCTAAGCCAGGTGACTCGGTTATCCAAGAGCAGGCGTGCTCGCGAGAGCTATACAAATGCGCTCTTGGTCTCTTATCTTCCTATATGGCCCTTGTACAATTTGAAAGTGATTTCTTAATTGCACAAAACTACCATCTATTACCAAATACCATCACGTGGGAGAGGTGGCTCGAGCTAAACCAGCAGTTGTTGGGGAACGATATGACCAGCCCCGGGCATATCAACTCGCGGTATTTATTTGGAGAGCTGAGACTGTCACGACTGAACAAAATCTACGCAATTCGCCATGCTAGCGTCTTGAGCGGCTATCAGTTCACCTATCAGACGTACGGTGATCTTTTCTACGACTATCTTACTCCGCTGACTGCAGCGACAATCTACGTTGCGCTAGTGTTGACGGCGATGCAGGTTGGGCTGGCGACCGATCGTTTAGGCTTTAACCCACCATTCCAGGACGCTTCATATGGATTTACGGTCTTTGCTATTCTCGGACCTTTGATCGGTATTCTATTAATCGGGATTATTGGGGGTTTGGCCTTTGTCAATAATCTAATAGGATCATGGAAGTTTAAGCGGCAACAGTTTGCCCTGTATGAACTGTCGCAAGTGCGAAATCAACTACCTTGACTCTCGTCCGAGTACGCAACCGAAAGATCCATTTGCAGGGGGACCAACGATCTAGTATCCATGGGCCTTCCAATCAATGTTCCTCAAAGATTGTTCGGGGCTCACAAGGGACGCAATAGCATCTTTGGACATGAACTCTTGTGCCTCTTGGACATGGATTCCATATCTGTTCAAGGCGCCTGTCTCTTTCAGGATGCGGGAGAACTCCCACTGGCGTGCTTGCTCCTCTCCCATATGTCCATACAGATCGATATATGTCTCGGGAGAAACTTGAATTACCTTGGTTGATCCCGACCCTGGAGCAACACCACTTGCCCTACCCCAGAGGGCGAGGAACGATTCCAGCGTGAGATCTTCGACACTGCATCTCACATACGTTCCACCCGGTGGGCGGTTGTTAACCAAGCTGTGGACAAATATCCCAGTATTGACCCGATGGTCTCCCAGAGATGGGTATGCGGAATCGGGATCAGCGGGATAGATCTGAATCCATCTTTTTGCTGCGGGCTGCTGGTGTGTTAAATCCTCATGTTAATAAACAAACGAGGTGAAGAGCAACATACCAGGTAGATGGGCTTGAACACTTCATACTCCGTCAGATTGATGACAAAAGTGGTGAAAAAGCAAAAAGTGGTCCTCTCCAAGAGCGCCTTGTCCTCTCGGATGAATTCATCTACACGGCCCTTTGCATCAAAGTGAGGCACAAGTGCCATTCCTTCAGAGACACGCGTGCTGTGAGGCAGAGTACTCCACAGATAGTGTTCGAGAGTCGACACCTTGCTAGCTGCTTTGGCCATGTTGGTGCCATGTGTGTACTCGATCTCCATGGACCTTTCCCAGCCTTTCGTCCAGAAGTTCTCGTAGTAGTCCGTAATAGCGAAGATCACATGGGCACCATGAAATGCTATTTCGAGACTAGCCATATCTCCAATATCTGCTTTGACCATCTCGACGCCCTGTGCGGCGAGGGCCTTTGCCTTGTCGCTCTCAGGATTGCGGGTCAGGCCGCGGATTCTCCATCCTCCGGCCCTCAGAAATGTTGAAACAACTGATCCTCCCTGGCCACCTGTCGCGCCCACTATCACAATGAGCTTTTGTGTCATGGTGGGATCTTGGGATGTGAAGCGTTTTAAACTGAATGATAATGATGGATTCTAAATATGTTCAACCTCTGTTCCACTGCACTGGTTTATGTTGACTTCCTTCTTCCGTTATTTCAATCTTATACTTGAATTATTAACCTGCACAGGTTCCTATGCGCCGAGGATAATTCTTGTTACTACCGAGAGCCGGGCACCGAGTGGCTCTCGGTGTCTGACTGAGCCGACTACTCAGTGATACTGATGTCATTTCGGCTCTTCAACGCTTCCCCGCATTTTCTTGATTCGGTTTTTAATGTCAATCGTTTTTTACCTAGAGAGTTTAGCGTCTTATGTCTCTTATGCCTGCTACTTGCGATTTGGGCCAAGAAAGAACATGAGGTGTTGAGATCTGCATATGGGCTTATTGTAGTAAATGTGACTTCATATTTAGGATCCAGATTTCGATTTACTCAAAACTATGGTCTAACCGAGACAGAAAGATTTATTCTGGCATCAAATGAAAGCCTTCCTACAAGTTTCTGGGTGTAGCAAAATAATCCTAATATCCCCGATAAACGACAAATAGACAGCAACAGACTCAGCAGAATTGGATCCCTTATATGTAAGATTAGCGACTTGTCTTAGAATTGTGGCAACATTGTTATTACCTCCATCGATGATGACACTCTGCCCTGTAATCATATTCGAGTCCTTGCTCGCAAGAAAGCTAACACAGCCAGCTATGTCTTCCGGTGTCTAAAGCTATGAGCTTTGGTGCTTGAGATGAATAGGTCAACATACAGATGATTTCTTCATAGCCGAGCGTTGTTCAACTGCATGCTGAAATGCTTGACCCTTGGGAATCCCCATTGTGCTGGAAATGTTTTCATCGATCTGATCCCACATCTGGCCACTGTTAGCCTTAGTAATTATGCGAATGGAAAGGAGCCCTACCGCAGTTTTAACAATTCCAGGACAGTAGCAATTAACCTAGAATGATGATCAGTGTAAATTATATAAACAAGACGAGGTGGTATACATTGATTCCATGTGGAGCAAGCTCGAGGGCTGTAGCTTGCGTCAGCCCTCTCACAGCCTATTTGCTGACCGAATATGCGATTGCAGTAGGTTGCTAGTGAGCCTAGGGTCAAACAACGCTCTTCTCAAATTTCGGGGAGGGCGTTAATACAGGCCGGTAGCCTGAGATCGAACAGGCACCTATAATCTTGCCTCCACCACCCTGCTTGATCATCTGCTGGCCTGAAGATATCAGATATGAATCAATGAATAATAATTTTGACCTACCCGCTGCTTTATAACAGAGGAACATGCCCCGGACATTAACCTAGGTATCATCAGCTAACCATGCTTGAAAAATAAAGGGAAATCCTTCCCTACGGCTTGCACACGATCCCATTCATCCGGTGTAATATCCATAAGTCTCTTGGTGAGTATTATACCGGCATTGGCCACCATGACCTTTTGAAATTTTAACTTAGCAAGCATTCGACGAGGCTTCAATGACATACCGTCAAGTTCCCAAGAGCTCCAACGGCACTGGAAATCATATGATTGACCTCTTCCTCCAAAGACACATCCCCAACAACTACTATCGAGCGTCTCCCTATAACGGTGTGAGATAGGAAATCTTCTTTGGGAAGGAAGTGTTACACGCACCTAGAGACTCGATCTCAAGCTTCAACTTCTCCAGTTTCTCCTTCTTAGCCTCGATATCGTTCACCTAGCCAGATTAAAACTTGGCACATGCATCAAACAGTAGAAATAGATTATTTCCATACAGCTAAATCAAAACCATCTTCTGCGAGTCTCAAGGCGATTGCGTGCCCAATTCCTTGAGATGCACCAGTGACTAAAGCAGTAGGCATATTGATTGGTGGATATGGAAAGTCGTAAAATCAAATATTGTTAGACGTTTGAGGCAGGGAAGGATACTTGCAGAGTCAATGTAGTTATTAAGTTTAATGAAAGTCGGACTGATGGTGCTCGGTTCTCTGTAGTACCCCGAGCATAGCTCGGCTGTCTTAACCATTGCCCCGAGCACCGACACGAACTTTCAGCTTTATTGACCGACTACTGCCTCGGCTCATAGTTTGTGGAAGTGATAAGAAGAGTCAGATTGTTCTAGCTTTACCCCGGATTTTATATTTCACTATCATTTGCTGATTGGTCTTCCCACTATGACGAAAGAAATCCAAAGACCCACTACGCCAATAAAAACAGCCGAGGAGTCTAGCGTGGATTATATTGAATTTCAAAATAATCACGATGAATCGCAGGGTTCAGACAAAGATGACAAGCTGCTGGTACGCCGCATCGACCGTCAGCTCCTTCCTTGGCTCTGTCTTGTCTATGCTCTGTCCCTGATTGATCGCACCAACATTTCCTCTGCAAAGATAGCCGGCATGGCTGAGGACCTGAACTTAATTGGCAACCGCTACTCTGTTGCCCTTGTGGTATTCTTCGCCACTTATTTGGCGAGCGAGTTGCCGGGCAACTTCATAATTCGGCGGGTGGGAACCAGATACTATCTGTCTTTCCTGATAGTCTCATGGGGAACAATCGCCATGTGCATGGGCTTTGTGACTCGATATTCGCAGTTGGTTGGATTGCGTCTTCTGCTTGGCCTCTTTGAGGGGGGATTCAATGTTAGTACCCGTCTCCATATAATATGTTTCCTGTACTGACATAGGCCAGCCCGCATGTATCTACCTCATATCCTCGTGGTACAAACGTTATGAAACCCAACAAAGGCTCTCCCTCTGGTACATGTCAGGATCCGTGATCTCCGGTTTCAACGGCATTATCTCCTACGGCCTCAGTACACTTGAAGGACTTGGCGGTAGACGAGGATTGAATTGGATTTTTATTATTCCTGGGGCGATCACTGTATTTTTGGCTATCCCAATTTTTCTTTTCCTCTCAGACTTCCCCGAGAAAGCCTCGTGGTTGAGTGCGAGTGATCTCCAGCGTGTCCAGGAGAGGCTGCGGGAGGACCGTGGAGAACAATTGGACGATAAGATCACAATTCGCAAGCCCTTAAGGATCTCCAAGACTGGAAAGTATGGGTACTGGCAAGTCTTCTATTCTTCCCCACCGCAGGCTCTTATACTATGTCATTTTTCACTCCGTCAATTCTTGCTGGTTTGGGATATAATGTCGCTCTCAGTCAGATCCTGGTTACACCACCCTACCTGGCAGCCGCCATCTTTGCCATTTCCACCGGAATGATATCGGATCGCGTGCGCACTCGAAGTCCTTTCATTGTTGGATTCATGCTTTTAACTGGGGCTGGGATAATAATGATTGGTTGGGGTCAAAACACTGCTTGCAAGATGGCCGGGATATATTTCGCCGTTATTGGAAACAACTGTGCAATCCCAACTGTGTTAGCCTTCCTGTCAAACAACATTGTCGGTTCGAGCAAGAGGCAGATTGCTGTTCCACTTCAAACCAGCATGGGTGCTATTGGGGGAGTTTTTGGCTCGTTGGTGTTTCGGCAGCAAGACTACCCTGGATACCGCCCTGGCTTATATGCTTCCATTGTTTGCTTGGCGGTCTGCATCCTGATAACTCTTTCTATCACTGCATTCTTTTACCGTGAAAACAAAGCTGCCGATGAAAAGGGGAAGATTTTGGAAAGATTGGAGGGATACCGTTATACGCTTTGATGTTGGGGGGTTGAAAATCATTAGCATAGCTTTGGAGATGACAACTTTTGGGACTGAAACCGAGTCCAGACATGTATGGCAGAGAATGGATCCAAATTGTAACGAAGGAGAAATCGAAAACCAGTTTCAAAGTGCATTCATGTATTGGTCTATTAAGCCTATTAGTTAGACGTATATACCCTCTTCAATTCCACCCCTATGGGTAGCTGCTTGGTTTATGTTCAAGTAGGTAGACTCAAAGCAACATCTGATCTCTTCCATTGACAACAACTTGAATGCAGTCCCAATAGAAATACATTCCTGTAGTATAGCATAATACACATTGTATGCACAGAAAGGCGTAAGCCATGTCAAAAACGCATCGCCAGCGCTCATATTGCTTCCGTATGTTGACGAGATTCTTGGCGAGTCAAAAATTCCATGGCAATTACTGAGTATTACCTACAATCCCTAAGATATAACCGGAACGCTTGCCATGTTAAAAGCAAGAGGCTTCAAGTTGCCGAGACATTATACCTCCGGAGAGTTCTTGACAATCCTTGATTGTTTACTTCTCTGAATTGCTGAAAAACGGTTGAAGACAAATCACTGCTGAAACAAGGCTAATGAAAAGACTAATCACCAGATATGACAAATTCAATATAATTCCAGTTTAAAAATTTCAAGCCTGTAAAACACAGATGTATACTAGAAACGTACTCAGAGCATTTTGTCTGGGTCATCTAAGTACCATGTCGAGTTCATCCCCTCGGCTTCCAGTGTAGAAAAACCATTGCCCAGATATCGGAACCTGTTCTTGGACCAGTGCGTAAACTCGAAGTCTTCTCCCCTGAAGTTCTGCAGCATGTGGAACCAATGAATACGACTTCCTGGATGCAAAGCTGTAACAGGGCCAACCTTTTTCCCGTTCTTGAACCAAGAACTACAGTTTCCCGCCCAAGCAGTTCGAGGCATGAAAGCCGCGATGTGCTCGGCAAATTCTTCCACAACGTCCTGTCGAGGAGAAATAGATTTGATACATTCCTCCTGGCACTTGCGAATGATCCGAGTGATATACTTTCCCACGTTCTCAGTTATGGTCAGTACACTGCCATGTCCGATAGGTGCATTTGGTCCCAAGAAGACTTTGATAAATTAGCATAAATCTTCTCTCAAATGATGTTCACTCACTGAAGTAGTTTGGCATGCTAGGGACAGCAAGTGACATGTAAGATGATGGCAGTTCTCGTGTCCATATGTCTTGGAGGTTGCCCTCTCTTCCAATAATTGGGAAGCGAGGACAAAATGAGACATTGAATCCAGTAGCGCAAACTATTGCATCAACTTCAATATTTTGCCCCTGGTCTGTTATGAGACCATTTTCATAGATTTTGGCAATACCCTCGGTTACGATCTGGACGTTGTCTTTGTGAAAGGCTTTCAGATATGCTGAGCTTGGTGTAATACGTCGACATCCGAATGGAAAATCAGGTATTAACTTGTCGATAAGCGCCTGGTTATCTTTCAAGGCCTGGGTCATATACTCGGTCATCTCTCCTTTCACAACATCTGCTAATGGAGATGAAGTAACAAGCTGCCTGGTGAATTAGCACTATAAAGTTATCCAGGGGCCTGGAGTTGCCGCATATTTACTCACAAAAGAAAACTTATTGTTGACCACCTCCTCCGTAGCTTTGATGAATCTGTTGTAAAGTTCTTTGTCCGTCTCGAACTTGCTCATTTGAGCGGTCGTAAATCGATCTCCATCAAGTTCCAGTTCCGATACAACTTCGCCAGCTGTACTTTGTGCCATTCTCTCCACGCCTGCAGGAGCTACCCAAATGGGCGATCGAACAAAGTGAACGAGCGTTTCCACATCTGAGTGAATAAGCAGTTGACCTTATGAACTATGAGAGATGTCATACCTGGTTGCATAGCAGGTACAATTTGTACGCCAGAGGACCCATTTCCTATCACTGCCACACGCTTTGATTTGTACGAAAAGTCATCTTCCAGTTGGCACTGTGGACCAAATCACCTTTGAATGTGTGTAGACCCGGAATATCGGGCCATTTCCAGTTGCTGTATACAAATTAGCGGCCCTTTACCGAAAAAAGAGGACCCCACAGATGACTTACTTGAGGATACCAGAGCCATCCAAAAGAAAGTGAGCGGAATCTGTCTTGACTATATCGGTGGTAAGGTCTCTCACACGAACTAGCCATAGACCCTCATCCTCATTCCACTCGGCATGTTTGACCTGATGATGCAACTTGATGACATTATTAAGATTTTCTCGAGCCGCCAAATCTTTGAGGTAACGATGGATTTCTCGTGCCTCTGAGTAAAACTTGCTCCAATGAGGGTTTGTCGCCCAGGAAAATTGGTAGTTGTGGGACGGGATGTCGCATTGGCAGCCCGGATATCCATTCTCATACCAAGTGCCCCCGATATCTGGGTTCTTTTCGTAAACAACGTTCTCGGTGTTTAGGAGGTTGTTGCGAAGAGTACGTATCATATTCAGTCCACTTGCACCCGCTCCGATGGTGATTATTTTCACATGGCGAGTAGATCCAAGAGGCTCCTCCAAAACGGTGTATGGCCCGCTGGCACCCTTTAATCCGTTGGCTGGCTTAAATGCCATGATATGTAGGAAGGGGGGAAATTTAAAGATTGTCTACTAAAAAACAAGCTGGTAGGTAAAGCGTAATTATTTTGCTATTTTATATCTATCTACTATTAATACTTCAAGGCTCATGTATGACTCTGTGCCAAAGTAGAAATATCGTGTGACATTACACAAATGCTATACATACTCGGCACATCAATTTCGGTAGATCGGTAGATCCCCCGCATTTTGGTACTCGCCTAGTTTCCGTCGCTAGACTGAAATCGACAGTCGGCAGTCGGCAGTCGGCAGTGAGTCGCCGCTGGATCGGCAGTCGGAGAGCGGTATTGGCCACAGTGACGTGACTGACATTGGTTCAACTTTAAGTTCTTTCCACATAGCCGAGACAAGAAATTCACTGTTACTTTATAGAAGAACAAAATCAGAGACTTGAATTCATTCAAACGCAAGTTATCGTATCATCTTCACCATGGCGACTCCTACCCATATGAAAGCGACCATTCTATCCAAGATTGGCGGACCTGAGGGCTTCAAATTCTCAGACAAGATACCAGTTCCCGAACTGAAGGATGGATTTGTCATTGTGAAAAACACGTTTGCGAGCTTGAATTTCATCGATGTCTATTTTCGAACCGGTGCCTACCCTACGCACCAAGGCCCGAACTTGAACCTGGGCCAAGAGGCTTCTGGGCTTATTGAGGCAGCGCCAGAGAACAATCCGTTCGGTTTCCAAAAGGGCGACCGTGTGGTATGGATCGCTCAAGGTGGCTATGCACAGTACACGGCAGTTCCAATCACCCAAGTTATCAAGGTTCCAGAAGGTGTTGCGGACGAGGATGCAGCGGGTGTGTTTTTGGCTGGTATGACAGCATTGGCTGTGATCAACGAGTCTTTCAACGTGAAAGCTGGTGACAGTGTACTTGTCCAGGCAGCCGCAGGGGGGCTGGGTCTGTTGCTTTGCCAAGCTCTTCGTGATCGAAGTGCTTTGGTAATCGGAACTGCCGGAGGACGCGAGAAGTGTGACCTAGCACTGCAACATGGAGCGGATCATATGATTGATTATCGGGAGGAGGTGAACTGGGCCGAGAAGGTGCGGGAATTGACAAACGGGGAAGGTGTTGATGTGGTAAGTTGGCCGTCCAAACGCGCCTTGGATGATTAAGACTAAAATGGAGTGCTAGGTATATGATGGCGTTGGCAAGGATACTTGGGAGGGCAGCCTTGCGGCAGTCAAGAAATTTGGTAAAGTCGTTTTTGTTGGCAGTGCCAGTAAGTAAATCCAGGCCCCTGAAGTATTTTGGTAACTAATGCAGTTGGCTTCTTTAGGTGGCCCAGTGCCTCCCTTCTCCATTGAAAGGTTGACTGAAAAGAACGCTTCTATCATGCGACCTACTTTGCGAAACTATATCGGTACAAGAGAGCGACTCGAGCGATATGGCAATGAGGCCCTTGATATGGTACGAACTGGAAAGTGGAATGTCCGAAAGCACAGTCATTACTACTCTTTGGAGGAGATAGAACAGGCCCATAGAGACTTGGAAAGCCGGGCCACCACGGGGAAAATGTTGATTAGAATTTAGTCTAAACCATAGCACTTGCTACGACTATGAAAGCCTCAAGCAACTTTTCCCAATTTCCCGTCTCCAACTATGTAGACCTCGATCCTTTTTGGCGTTTAGAAGTACTTCCAAGTAATTGAAAAACTAGTCCCATTGATCTTAAACAACGGTATTCTTCTTTCTCTATCCTCTATCTACACATCGCTTCGATCCTTTTGCGAGTTGACAACCTCACTCGCAATCGCAAGTGCATCCCTTCCAGCAGGAACGCCACAATAGACCATAGCATGTCTGCAGGCTTCACATATTTCCTCCTCTGTGAGACCGTTGTGAAGCCCTGCAGTGATATGGATGCGCAATTCAGGTCCTCGATTCAAAGCCGTGAGCATAGCGATATTCATCAATGACCGTTCACGAAATTTCAAGCCAGGGCGCGCGTAGCTCGAGAAGCAAACTTCAGCGATGTACTCTTGACTCGCCTTAGTGAATATGTCGTCCCTCTAGATGATGTGAGCTATAATTTTCTCGATATTGCGGAGCTTTTGATAACTTACGGCGTTATTTCGTAGATTGGACAAAAGATCTTCGCCGAGGAACTCCTTCGACATCTGGGCACCCAGGAGCAATTTTTCGGAAGGGTTTTGGGCCATTGTAGTGTTGTAGAAAAGTTTGTGTTGATACTAGAAGATTTGGGTTGGGACTGGTGAAATCCAAACTCCAAACTAATCCGGGGGTTGTTCTCTTTTATGCCCTTTGGTAGCTTCCGAGGTAGAAGGTATAGATACCGAAGAGCGACGGTACTCGGTGTATCGGTATAATGCATCTATCTTTGGTGACGCTTGAAACGTAGATCTCATATCTGGGGAGGACCGAGCAGATGCTAAAGTCGTTGCGCCATATTCTCCTTCGCGGCAACATGATTGTTTGGTTTGATCATCCGTTAATTCATTGTCATTCTCGTGATTCTCGCGTTTTTTGGCCTTGGGGATTAAGCCATTATGCAGTGATTTGTGTAACTATTTAACTTAGTCCTCCAGTGAGCTTTTACACAACTTTATTAACCCGTGGCTTTTTGTCTGATACACAGTCTCATTAATCGTGACTATTGTATATAAAGTTCAAGACCTGAGACTCTCGTGACCTTAGAACTTCACTATGGCAACATCAGTTCTTCATGCCCACGCTCATAAAGTGCGTCTCGGCAACAAAGTATCTCGCGCTTCCGCTGTACACTTAATGTTCGCGATTTATATTGAGCTACTAACGATTCTTATCTATGCTTATCACGCCGGTCTTATTCCAACTATCAAGCCTCAGTATAACCGCATAAGGTAGGTACCATGGACTCAAGTACCAAATCATCGAAAATTTGCAGCTCAGCATGCGAAACGCAATCTACCCATATGGAGATGAGCTATTTTGCATTGTTCTTCTAAGCAGTACTGATTACCTTTGTGCTATTCGTCACAATATGGGTCGACTGGGTCGAAAACATTGAGATACGGTTGGACAACTCAAAGCGAATGCCCATGCTGATAACTCCAAAGATAAATTTCCACTTTCGTTTTAGTTCTTAAATCCTTCGGCTTCTCTTCTGGGGCCCAGACTGAGCGGGGTTGACTGCCGCACACTTAGCCGAGTGTTCGGCAACATTCATGATTGGTCCCCATCTCTTATCACAGCATAATCACTAAACTTCTCTTCTTTCTGCTCTCTCAATCATTTTTCCTTTTTGTAGAATTTTTCAAACATGGTGGGCACAGTGGTTATCACCGGTGCGACTGGCTCGCTCGCGCTTGAAGCAGTGCAACAACTTCTGTCATCGCATCCCTCGTTGACCATTGTTGGCACTGTCCGAAATGCAACTAAATCCCCCAAAAGCGCTCAGTTACTCCGACTGGAAGAAATTGCACAGCGGTATCCTTCCAGCAAGCTCCTTATCAAAAGTGTGGATCTGAACTCTACATTGGAAGTACGAGAATTTTCGAACGAGATTGCTGGCCTGGTGGAATCTAACGAGCTTCCACCCATTTCCGCCATAGTTTGCAATGCCTTCACATGGTCGCTAGACGGGCAGCAATTTTCCAAAGATCGGTTAGAATCTACATTCCAAGTCAATCATCTTTCGCACTTTTTACTGGTTCTCCGACTTCTGCGGAGCATGAATCCCGAGACGGGTCGGGTGGTCATGCTTAGCTCCGAAGTTCACGATCCTGAACACTCCAATGCTCTTTCCAAATTGGGCGCGGAACTTCCCTCCAATGAGCGCCTTGATGTATTGGTCCATCCTGGCGCTGATGAGATTGGAGCGGAACATGATATGGGCTGGCAACGATACGCAAACAGCAAGCTAGCCAATGTCATGTTCATGCAGAGTTTGAATCAACGACTTCAACAGGTATGAGCAACTTTCTCAAAATGTAGCAAATCGCACTAAGCATGTTTTTAGAACCCGCAGCTCAGCAAGATCACCGTGACTGCTATGGACCCAGGCGGTCTTGTGAACTCCCGGGCCCATGTCGCCCAGCGTTCAATCAATCGGATCATTTTTGGGCTATTGGCGCTTTTGCTTCCAATTATAAAGCTTTTTACCTACAGGCTTCGGTCAAATTCGGACTCAGCCCGAGATGTCCTAGCACTGGCTTTGGCCCCTGAGTACGCATCAGTCAGGGGCCATTTCAATGGAAGAAAGCCTCAACCCCCTGCGCGTGTAAGCGAAGACGAGGCAAAATGCGAGGCTATGTGGGAAGCTTGTTGGAACTGGGTTGATATGAAAGCAGGCGAGACATGTGTTCCCAAGAGTTACTCCTAATTGCAGTTTAATAGAACGAGTACAGCATGTTGAAATGGTATACAGAGAGAACTATGTAGTCTGTCAGATATTATTAAGGCTACCTGATATTACTGAAATTAATTAAAAATCGAAACCCCCCCCCCCTTCCCTTTGGATACATATTAGTACATAGAATTCCTCCCTCAGACGATACAATCTTGTACACGAACTTCAAACGCGATCACTTTGTCTCCTGGGGTCGGTAGACCACTCGTTCAGCAAGCAAGCGAGGTGTGTTGATATCATGACTAGGTAAGACAACCACATCAGTCTCTCTAGCAAATTTCTTGATGGTCTTCAACGTTTGGTAAGCACGCATTGGGTCGTCGTTGATTCCATCGGGCTGTTCCTTGTCCAAAAGGTCCAGGCCATATGTTGCGTCCCCAGGGAGGAAGTATGTGACCTGACTCTGTCCATCTTCACCGTCGCCGTAAATCACCAGACTGATATGGCCGGGAACATGCCCCGACGTATCAACGATGGCAATTTTACCATCCTCTGTCACGGGGTAGGACTGCTTCCAGGGTCCAAGTGGTCTGTCTTGCAGGTCCACAACCTTCGGTGAGAATTCCTTTGGCCAATGATTGGGTGTCGCTCCCTCCATGCTTGCAAAGAGAGGATGTTCCCCAAAGGCATTCCAGTGCTCACGGCTGATGTAGATAGGCAGATCCGGTGCTTCGGCAATCAGGTCCTCTAATCCACCGGCGTGGTCGTTGTGGAGGTGACTCAGAATCACGGCTTTGAGGTCAGTCGCCTTGATTCCGAGCTTATGAAGTTGCTCAAGGACTCCATCTTGGCGCTCAATGTTGAACTCACTTAGGAGGCCATTGAAGATAGCAACCCGCGGGAAATATCCGGCGTCGTTGCAGCATGGAGATTGTCCTGTGTCCATGAGGAAGAGACCTTCAGGGTGGCGAATGAGGAATACCCCGACTGGCAATGGTTCGGTCCATTTCCTATCGCAAAGTGATCGCAGGCGTCGAAAAATCGCAAATTTGCTCACTGGTTGTGAGCGCATTGAGGGTCTGATGCGTACCGTTCCCGTTGTGAGGAAGGTCAACTGGACACCGCTGGTGTTCGTATTGGTTGTCATGGTGTAGATTTGATTTTGATAATGAGTGAGCTAGCAGGATTGAGTAAGGTGAGAATCTTATGTTCAATCAAAATTAAAATAATAAAAGAAATGACGTGAACGATATGATATATATGGCCGAAAAAGCGGCCAACCTGAGGTTTAACCGACAGCCGCGCCGAGACCCCAAATATGTCGAGTTCATCCGTCGGGGGAATTAATTGACCGTGCCCTTTTAATCCGAAATTATCCAGATAAATGCTTAAATTATACTTATACCGGTCGATATTACTCTAGCTAAATATCTGTACAGGGGGTTCATATCTCAAATATCAAACAGCCAGTGATATAATCAGTCCAATCTATAGTTTAACGAGTTTTGTGCTCTAAATCCAAAATTACTCCAGCTCAACGGAATATATGATATTCAAATATTATGACACGTAGAAACAGTGAACCTGCGCATTACGTGTTGCCCCGGATCATCGCGGTTGGAATCCTTCCAAGGCTGAGATGCCGAGGGAGTGAAAATGCGGGGTGTCACTAACTCAAGCCAATCCCTGTACTTATATTAGGAGCCTGTTTTATCAATAGTTCTAGAGCAGAAGGTCATTATGTTTCCTCGAGATCGAGCTCATATTGTGTGCGTTCTTTGCCACGAACGAAAGGTATGGTTCTTTCTGTCTTTTACTAACGAAATCTAAAAACAAACAGGTGAAATGTGACTTGGAAGACAGTCAAAATGATGTCTGCAGCAACTGTTGTCGATTCAATCAAACTTGCATGTTAGTATTGAAGCCGTCTATGTATTCCAAGGGTACATGTGTTTTAACACAAATTTAGCCGGCGTACGGGAGTACGCAAACGAGTCAAACGGACAAGACAGGACCCTGCGCCACAATATCTAAGTCCTGTCAACTCATCTGTGGATGCCGAGGACTTACCTCCAAACGCCAAGTCTCCACGAACTCTGTGGCCAGAGAGCAGCGGAGGAACAAGTCAAGACCAAGCCCAATCTAAGCTGTAAGCTGGATTCATTGCAGATCATTCAGTTCTGGCTTGCGATATTCCCACACAGCCCACAATATCGGAGGAATCCCTGTCTCACTCAAATCGCATCATGGATGCAATTCTGGCCACGACTGAAGCAGCAGTACTTCCTGTCGCTCCTCTTCGAAGAGCACTGACGGATGCCTTCTTTGAGCAGGTATTCCACAATTACCCTGTTATCAACCCCGAGGATATCTCAAATCCAAACCCGTCTATTCTTCTGCAGCAAGGTGTCTGTCTCGCTGGGAGTTTGATGAGAGATGGTCCAACAAATCTCCAACTTTCACGCTCACTCTATGACAAGGTAAAAACCCTCATTTATCTCAATTATGAACCCGATGATCTCGCAACGTTGAAGACAATGTGTCTCCTGTCGTGTTGGAGTGTGAAGCCACCCGATAAGATCAGTTTAGATGGGCCCTGGTACTGGACAGGAGTGGCTTCAAGGCTTGCCATTCAGATGGGTCTTCACCGGGAGTCGACCTACACCAATAATCCCCAAAACCATTGCCTTCGTCGGATTTTCTGGCAACTTTATGTGAGTCTGGTAAATGGCCTAAACTATAAGATGCTAAAATTAATATGCTATGAGTTATAGAGCAGCGACAAACTACAAGTTGCCTGTTGGGGTCGCCCACCATCCTTCAGCTCAAGATATATCACCGTCAAACCCCCAGTACTGGAAGACTTCGAGATACAGAATGTGCAAGCCCTAGTTTTTATACACACAACAAAACTATGTACCATTATTGGAAACATTGCAGAGCTTCACCTAGAACGACGGCCAGTCCCTTTCCATGAGGTCTTCGTGCTCAGTGAGACATTATGTGGTTGGGTGCGCGAGATTCCCCATGAGCTTTGCCTATACAATTCTGAAGGCGGCAGAAACGAATTCAATCGACCAGTATCTGAACTATTCATCAAATATTTTGCTGCAATAATTTTGTTGCAGCTCCTCCAGAATGAAGTCAATCAGCAGAGGCGTACAACGGTGCGGTCACTTGTTGCGGCATCATGTATGGCTAAGCTCTATGAAGAAATTCACTACAGAGAACAGACATGTTATTTACTCCCTATACATGGATTTCTGTGTATGGTCGCATCGCTCCCACAGATATACTATCAGCCACAATCTGCAGAGAAGAACAGAACCCGCAAAGAGGAACTCGACATCTTACGCTCCATCATGGGCAACATGAGAGGTAAATACGGCGGAGCTACAATGATCCTAGCTAAGATCCAGCGGCTTGAGAAAGAGGTCAAAGCTTCAACAGATCGATATCTTTTGGAAGCAGATGCTGTTGGGCTATCCAGTGATGGTATCCTGCACGATCCAAGTGAATCCCTCGGGGAACTCTTCCCATTTCCTCCCACTGCATGTGCTCACATGGATTTCATTAAGCAAAGTGGAGAGACGCAGCAAGGCTTCTTGCCTCAGGACTTTGTCCCGATGGAGGATGAGTGGGCCAAATGGCTAGTCTCCGAAGGCCATAACTTTGTGGACTTATTTGGAATGTACTCTGGCGCGTATGACGTGGAAGAGCCATATATTTAATCAATATACGAGTAAAAGGACGTATGCTCTACAATCCAATGGCGCGATCTGGGGACCTGGCGGGCTTAGCGCTATGAATCTTCTGTGACTCAGAATCCATAGCTATGTCATATTTTCTCGGTATTTCAGAAGCTCATAGGTCCGTCAAACAAAAAGAAAGACCAATCTATCGGCCAATCAGTGCTATCCATGGGCATAGTAAGAAGTGCATCCGGCGGTTGGTTCCCACTAGTTTCTGCAGTTCTTAGAAGCCCAAGCATAGGGCAAAAGCTTGAGGGGACAGGGAAGAGCTGAGCCAGCTGAATTTGCCCAGGCACTGGGAGAGCGCCCCACGTATTATCGGCTTGAGCGGGAAACGCATCTGCGCGCATACTGTTAAGACCGTTGATTTTGCTGAGTGCCAAAGCAGCGGAAGAATGCTTTTCACTCATGGTTTCCAGTACCTGTTTGCTGATTCTGAGCTCATCGTCTCGATCTGGGTTCAATACATCGCTGTCACTGAAGGTTCGTGGAATTCCGGCGACGAGGTTAGCCCAAGAATGGATTGGAAGTAGATATTGAACATCCTCATGATAGAGAATCTCCTCGTACAGCCGAGAAACACAGGATGAAGCAGTCATTGAAGCATATTTGAACAATAAAGGGTTCTCCCGGCGACCAAGGAAGCACGTCAAAATGACAGTCACCAGGTAAAATATATGGAGCTCAGCAACATAGCGACTATATGGTTGTCTAGTTTCAATGTCGAACAATTGCATTTCGAGAGGCAATTGTTCTCTCCACACCCTCAGTCCATCCTGGCACTGATACACCTGCTCTGATGGGGTGTCATCAACTCTGGCCAGGTCCAGGACCTTCCTAAGGTTTTTACAGAGACCTGCTAACTGGCAGAAGACGCGTGATCCGAGATCGGGATCTTTGAAGTCACTAGGGACAGGCAGTGGCACAGAGGTTTCCAAGGGAAACATTCCAGGACGCCCACAGCAAGCCGTCTGCATAGTATCGTTGATAAAGAGATACCACCACATTCTGCGTGCTCTTCCAGGATGTTCTAATCTGCTGTATGTCTCGTTCTCGTGCAGATGCAACTGGATCGCGAGTCGGATTGCCATACCAGCCCATTGCCACGGGTTGTCCAGCACTATCGCATCAGGAGAATATGGAAGCCAGGTGCTGAGAATACAAAGCGCGCTGAGCATATTTAATGGAGCCGGATCATGGTGCAGAAATAGCAACGTTCTGATCCGCCCGTAAATAGCAAATGTGGTCCACTCGGCTGGCCCTGCTGTTTGACGCATGGTACTTCCTGCGAAATACAGGCATTGCCGTAGCAAAGTAGAGATTTCTATCTCGGGTTGCCCGCGATCCAAAACTGGGACCAGGTAGAAGAGTTCACGGAAATAGAAATCGGTAAGTGCTTGGGCGATGACGGGAGTTGGAAGACGACAAGCTTGACTTATGTCTAAGATGAGCTGACTTCCATCAATAGAATTTGGCTGTCGCGAGCCATTGACATTGCCAGGTCCCAAGCAGGTTATGTCCCGGTGGCCAAGAGGACGGAAAGGTGAGGGTGTGGCTTCCTGTGGTATGTTTTCCTGTGCCACAGTGGGGGCTGTTTGGCTTGCCGACAGGAGACTTGTATCTGACAAATAAAGTGAAGAACGGAGGGCTTTTCTTTGCTTTCTAGGTCCAATGTGAGGTCTGTCATGTAAGCTTATAGGCCTCGGGTCATATGTATCATTAAGAAGCCTTACTGGCATGTATGGCCTTCATGCTCGCACCGGCTGCAGCTGCCACTTGGTCGACCTTCTAGATCGCAGCGGATCTTCATCACTATTAGTGTTGGTAGGATACATTCATGAATAACAACATACCTTACGACTGTGGCATCGGGTGCATACAGCACGCGCCCTTCGTTGCATATTAACAATTCGAGATTCTATCGGCAAACGAGGTGATTTTGCGACGGGGAGATTTTGCCGAATACACCGCAATTGCCGCCCACAGCCGAATATGATGTCATGGCCTAGTTCCCTCCAGGGGCTACAACGCAGAATAGTAATCAAGTCTCCTAGTCTGGCATAAAGTTGCGTATATTTTTTTCAAACGGCATCCTTATTAAGAAAAGTTAAGGCTCGGCTTTATTTAGTGCCCCTCTCTTAATACATATAGCCGGATTATGGAGCTCGGATACCACATTCTCCTATTTGAACAAGGTCACAATCCTCATTAAGATGACAAAAGGGACCCCAGTAATCAGAGAGGAGGTATCGTCAAGGTCCTTTTAAATGACATATAATCCCACGGCTTGCCATCTCTCTAGAAGCCCTTGACCAGAGGAGTCTGTGCCGGCTCTCCATTTATAGGAACCTCGCTCAACCAACCCCAGTGACACTTTTCCTTCAGGCCACTTTCTCTCCATCCATTGATATCTTTCTTGGGATCCTCATTAAATATCGGCATGAAATCAAGCAGAACAGCATCATGGGCCAAACAGACCAATATATCGTCATTCTGGTCCAAAGCCTGCATCTTAGATACAGATTCACGCGCCTCGTGGATGTCATGATAAGCAGTTGGAAAATCACCAGCCATCTTATACCAAGGCGTCGTACGTCCTGCTAGTTCATCATCCGCATTTGGATGGTTTCTGATGATGGAGCAGGGACACGGAACAGGAGCATGGCGCCTTGCAAGAGCAAATTCGGGAACCAGATCCGGCAATGGTCTTTCAGACGAGGGCCTGAAATCACCTGCAAAATGGCAGATGTCTCCGCCCAAGAATACGAACGAGGTGCCTCCTTTTGCTGAAGATGGGGTGGTGCGAGCTAATGCAGAGATGTGGCCTGCACAATGGCCAGGGGAGTCGAGCAGATAGAGCGAACCGTCTCCAAAATAGTCGTGAGCTTTGAAGTCTCCAATTTCCAGACCGCTCTCAAAGTTAATTTCAATGAGTTCTCTGCTTTCGAAATCCGAAGCCAGAACGGGAGAATTGGGGTTCTCAGGGTAGCCGGGGAGGAGACCTGCTTTCGTGAATCCGGCTCCAACGGTTATGGAAGTCGACGGAGGAAATGGGGACATATCACCGCAGTGATCATAATGGTAGTGGGACCAAATACACGAATCTGCAACTCGGATACTCACATTAGCTTCCACGCGTGATATATTTTGTTTACAATGCCATTGAAAGAATAAAATACCAATTGTATCAAGACTGATTCCTCCCTCAACGAGTATTTGAGCAACGTCTTTGTCGACTTTGACTCCCGTCATGACACTATCCAGGCCAAATACCCGCTGCACTGCTGGGGCGAGATTCCAATAATCCTTGCGCGTGCCGAGGTCAAACATGACTCTCTTGTCGGTTCTTTCATTTTCAATGAGAAATGCTAAATCATTAAAGTTGAAAGTCTCGTGGCCGGCGACGACGGGGTCGACAAAGACCTTGGCTATTCCGGTCAGGTAGGTTGTTGTATCAAGCAATTTGACTCGCACAATATGATCCGATTGGGGAAGAGACAACATTTTAACAACTCTGTGTTTGCTAAGATGACTTGGTTAATTTTAGTAGAGACGTATATGTGCGAGAATTCCGGGGCTATTTAGCCTTGAAACCGCATGTCTCGGTGGTCGGCCTATCGGCATACTACACTTAACTAAATGTACTAGTCTGGTTCCCCATGGCAGTTGGCATTGAATATGAAAGTCATGAGTACCAACCCATTATACGTTCAACAATATATTTTCATTATAGACTCAAGGCAATCCTCACGAATGATACATCGGAACACTCCGAAATGGAACTATACTCCCCCACACAGCCATGAGCGGCCCCACCCCGTCTTTCGCAACGCATCCGTCCCGCGTCTATAAAAGAACCTCAACAGAACGTGAGACCGTCGAAACCACCAACCACAACACCAAATCTGCTTTTAAAACAACAAAACTTTACGTAAAACCCACATCCAATTCAAAAATGCCGGACCAACCCAACCAACCCCAACAAATGTACAACATCAACCCAACAAACCTCCAAAACTTCGTCAAGCAAATCCTCATCGCAAACAAGACATCACCAGCACACGCCGAAATAGTCTCCAAATGCCTCGTATCAGCCGATCTCCGAGGCGTAGACACCCACGGCAGCAACCGAATCCCCTCATACATGGAGCGGATCCGACAAAAAGCACTTGACCCAAGTGCCGTCCCAACAATCCGACAAGTGACGCCCGCCGTTGCACAAGTCGACGCGCACAACGGGTTCGGTTTCGTAGCTGCACACGAAGGAATGAAGCTCGCCATCTCGATGGCCCAGAACTTCGGCATTGGGATGGTCTCCGTCAAGCACTCGAATCACTTCGGCATGTCTGCGTGGCTGGTGCAGCAGGCCCTTGAGGCTGATATGATGTCTCTTGTGTTTACGAATAGCTCGCCTGCGCTCCCGGTCTGGGGAGGGAAAGAGAAGCTAATGGGTGTATCGCCGATTGCATGTGGAGCGCCGGCGGGAGATGGGAGGCCGTTTATCTTGGATATGGCCCCTTCCATTGCCGCCCGCGGGAAGATTTATAAGGCACTTCGTCGCGGGGAGAATATTCCTACGGATTGGGCGCTTGATAAGGATGGGGCCAGGACGGATGATCCTGCTGAGGCCTTGCAGGGTGTTATGCTGCCTATGGGTGGGCCGAAGGGGTCTGCGCTGTCTATTATGATGGATGTTTTCTCTGGTGTGCTTTCTGGGTCTGCTTTTGCTGGACATGTTACCAACCCATATGATCCCTCGAAGCCAGCTGATGTCGGGCATTTTTTGGTGGCTATTAAGCCGGATTTGTTTATGACTATCGAGGAGTTTAAGGGGAGGATGGATTATCTTTATCAGCGGGTTGTTGATTCAGAAAAGATGGCTGGTGTGGATCGAATTTATTTCCCTGGGGAGATCGAGATGATTACTGAGGAGAAACGCTTGTCGGAGGGCATTCCTTTTGCTACGGCTGAGATTGACAGCTTGAATAAAGAGGCTGACCTAGTAAAGGTCGAGCATTTGAAAATATAGACTACCATGCAATGAGAACAAAGTTGATGTATTCTATATTGCTATGTCAGACTTCAACTACTAGCTCCCCATCATATCCCTGTGCCTGAGAAAAGTAATAGCCGCGCTGATTACTGATCACCCTTTTCTCAGTACCCTCTTCAATATAACTGACATTGAAGTGCGTATGCCCAAATGCCCATAATTTGACTAGCGGACTCTTCCAAGCCCCCTGCCCTGAGAGATCGCTGGCAAAGCCCGATGATAGCGAGCTGTTTACATGCCTTGGATCAAGAGCCCGTGGGTCTTGAGTGACCGGGCTATGATGTGTAAAAATCACAATCTTGCGATGAGGCTCAGAGGCAGCGATTTGGGAAACCTGTTCATTTAACCACTGCAAGTCTGCTTCATGAGCAGCCGTGTGATTGTCAACCGTCCAGTCGTTTATGTGGTAAAAGTCATTGAGACTATAACTGATTTTATCCTTGTGAGCCTCGCTTACTCGCGAGAAGAGTGTGCACCCCAGGATAGTCACATCTGGTGAGAGATCATAGCGAGTCTGATCTAAGAAAACAAAAGAACCCATTGTTTCTGAATGCTCATCTTGTTCTGCATTTGAACGCTGAAGATCGACAGAAGCCGAAAATTGACGGAGGACTAGCTTCGTCTCCTCCCAGGTTGAGTAGTAGGGCTCATGGTTTCCTAACAGGAAGAACACGATTTGGAATTGGCGCAACTGAGTTTCAATGAATGTAGTGAAGCCTACGTCTTTGACAACTCCTATGTCTCCTAGCAGGGCAAGATAAGGTGCTTTCGGAGAGACGCTGAACACATCGTATGCAGAGGGATTTTCTAGATGTAAATCTGATAATATCTGGAATGTGGACATCTGGCCGTACAATAGATGAGGCAAATTTTGCTTGTGGATCTCTGAGTCTGGGGGCGATACTAACCAACCAGACGCAATTTGAAAGACCCGCCAAGTGTGGCTGAGGTATATGTGGCGGTGCCAATATGGTGTGGCGTAACACAGCCCTCTTTGGTCCTGTCAAACGGGTCATCCCTCAGTTATCTAAGCGCCCAGACATGATCTTATAAGAAGCCCCTCCTTGGCTGAGGTCTGAAAATAGATTCACCTCCTTCTCCTATTTCAACGATCCTCATATCCTCTTATTGTCGTTAGATGTGTTCCTGAGCCTTTGGCTACCAGCTTATCAACCATTGTTACAGAAACGACGTCATAACTGTGTTATCAGCACCTTAAATTGCGGGCAACCTTGAAAGACGCAAGGCCCAAATCGTGACAGTAACCGACACGATGGCGAGCGCAGCAAATGATCCCCGACTGCTATACAGCGTCAATAATATCCGTGCTTTCCATATCCAAGATGGCGAGGAGCAGGACCTTACGCCGTCCGGCCCTCAAACGCTATCACTGCTAATGGTCCCCACCAACACTACCACTGCTGGCTCTGGGACAGATTGGCCTGAAGATTCACTGGAAGAGGATTTTTATCTCCACCTCTACCTCCCGCCCGAGCTTGATATTGCGATACCCGCGACCACACAGATCTTTCACCAACCACCCGACAGTTATTTGATTCCACGCTGGGACATGGGTCCTGATGTTGGCGCTTTCATTCGCATCCAATTCCCCAGCATTGGCACAGGCCCTAGTCATGTGTCTCAGGATGATATTGATACCTTTGAATCCATCCTTGCGCAGTGCACTGCATTCCTTGAGCGCACCCCGCACCCGAAGGCTCAAGACTATACTGCTTATAACCCGGCCGACTATGCCCCCGGCGAGGGCTATTTTGGGACTCCGGATACAAAGAAAGCAGATGCTCATGGGAGAATTGTACTCGTGGATGAAGAAAACGGCAGTGTGGTTGGAGAGCTAGGAGATGGCTACAACGTAGTTGAGGATGCCGACGTGAAGCCTGGTTCTAAAAGTAAGTATTGAACTGCGACCACTTTCATTCAGCAACTGACTAATATACCACGAATAGGACCGGTAGGTATTGAGCTCCCTGCAGAAGGCGGAGGCAACCAAGTCAGCGTCAGCAATGTCTCCGAAGAATACCTGGCGTTGGCCCGGCACCCGGCGTATAAGAACTCTACACTCGTTCAGACTTCAGCTACAGCATCTCGTCTGATCGTGACTGGATCGACATATCTAGCAAGTGCCATTGCGAGCGGCGCGGAGAATTTCCAAAAGAAGACTCAACCGAATGTCAAGCCTCTGAAATTCTCAGACGCTACTCACGCGCGCATCCGCAAGGTCGGCACTTTCTCCAACGGAGCAGCGGATATTTCTGCTCGCACAGTCGGACAGGTCGGAAGGGTTGCACAGAACATAGGTGCATCATTGGCGCGCAAACAAGAATCTGGCCGGAACAAAGGCATCGACAGGCGCAACCCACCACCCGAATATAAGCCCGGAGTGCTCAACAAATCAATGATCGCATTCTCAACCCTCGCCGACGGCATCGAGCAGAGCGCCCGGAACATGCTCTTCTCCGGTGCTGGCGCTGCCAGCTCCATGATCGAACATCGTTACGGCAATGAGGCAGGCTCCGTGGCGACCAACCTGACGGGCGGAATCAAGAACGTTGGATTGGTTTACATCGACGCCACAGGTGTCAGTCGCCGCGCGCTTTTGAAGTCCGTCGCCAAGGGAATGGTTGTTGGGAAAATGCGCGACGGTCAACAGGTTGTCGTCGGCGTTGGTGACGGCGGCCAGGTTCCGGCTAACGCTGTGGAGTCTGCTTCGGGCCCTTCTAGCTTGAGCGCCAGGGACCCTGTTGTGCGGCGTGCGTCGCCCAACCCCACACCGCCTCCTGCATATGGTGCGTCGGGGACAATGTCCCTCAACGCCTCGTCTATGTCAGGGGGTAAGCGGTAAAAAATTGGGGGCTGGCACCCATGACAATTACATTACTTGGGGGGAACGAGATCTCGTGCATTGAGATGCTTGGATTATTTCATTTTTGTGACTTTGGCACGGCGAGCATGATTTCCCATTTGTACGACATTCTGATTGAGGCTTGAAGCTTGAAACTTCTTGAGTCTTGTCTATTTTACCTTTTTGATACCTAGATAGTGACCTCGCATATCCGCAATAAAGTTCCGACCGCATCTTATGCACAAATATATCACCAACTTTAGTTTATGATTCTTCTTCAAAAACTATTGGACAAAATTGGGTTTCTGGCTAGGTGGCACAGCGCCAAAATAGGGAGAGCGCAGTAGACCGTATTTTCCAGCAGCAATTTGATTTGTATACGGAGTCTAGTCAGCAGATAAATTTCGAGGAGGTGAGGGTGGTTGGGTGTGATGTAGATGAATGCCATTGGACAGGGTTACTCATATGCGTTGCCCAGGTGCTGGTGGACGATCTATCCGATATTGATTGGGTGATGGTATACAACGTTGTAGAGGCGAAAACTGCCAACGCATCGCTTGACAGTTGTCCACGGCCCACCTCGGCCCCTTGACCAATGAGGCTTATCAGGGAGGAAATGATAATTTCAAAGGCTTGATACTATGTTTGGTGTATTATTAGTGATCCGGGGGCTGTCAAAAAAAAAAAGTAGAAAACCACAGAAGATACAGTCGATTTAGCATCAATTACTCCGTACTGCATGCAGGTGTGTTGTAGATTGGAATGGAGACAGACTGTGGGTAAGTGGATAGAGTACATGAAAGATAGAGTAAGGTTTAGTCTTGCAGGCCGGGCTATTCAGGAACCGCATGTACTCCATGTACTTCCATGTACATCAAGATTTCAAGGTTGCAGTTGAATATGAAATCCCTGGAGTTGAACAAGATCTGCTTAGATCGGGATCCAACCATGGTTCTAAGCCATATTTACCGTGGTTGGGGCCATGGTTCCAGGGTTCGTGCGGGTGGCTATGGCCCCTCTTTAATCGATTTCAAAGTGCGTACGGAGTATGTATACGGATGTACGGAGTACGGAGTACCTAGGTACTCCTCGGTAGCTTCAAAGAGTTAAAGCCCGAAGTAAAAAAAACAGCATGTTAGCGCTAATTGTCAGCTAAACCAAGCTAGGGAGCTGAGCTACTGCACACCATTCTCACAGCTAATTTCTGGATTGGTCTCAAAATTCACATACTCCGTGCTCCGTATAACATTTCAAATCAGGTTGATTTGATTTATAGGAATGATTTAGTTAGACCAATTAAGAAGAAGAGAAATACTGAGATCTGAGCTTCTGCGCTGATGAGAGGTTAATAATGACGATCGTCCTGAGGTGTCCACTCTATGAGTATTCGAAACAACCGGTACAACCCCCTATTTTTTTGCTTCTTTCTTTTCCTGAAACTGAGCTCTGTAGCAATTTTTTAGCGCCTGATTCATGCTATTATTATTTCTATCAAATCCAAAGAGGACATTGTACTCCGTACTCCGTACACTTCTCTCCCTTCTTTCGCACATGTGAGGGTCCCTCGGGACTCGAGCCCTTTTTAGCAGGTTAGCTACTGGCGCAAGGGATTTCGTGATCAATATATGGGCAATTAATATCGAATCCACTCCATACGCGCACAGTAGTTACTTACTTTGTCTTTGTCGTCACCATCCTGGATGTATCATAACCCCCAAAAGCCCTTGGGTAGCTAGCCTTGGGCCTATGTATATGTCTAGGTTCTCTTTATTTCCAAAGATCTAACAAACATAGACCTATTATAAATACTAAACCAATATCAAAGTCTCATCGTAAACTTATGTTGTATATCTGTAATTAAATAGAGAAATTCATTTTTCCATATGTATCCAAGTGGTCATATCAGCCAAACCCTCATCCAAGGCTCAAGAGCCAAAGACCCGCCTCCCCCAGACTAAGAGAAACTACCACTCGTATCTCACCTCCTCTTTTTCCCTCTTCACCTTCTCGGCCTTTCTCTCTACCCTTGGGGCTTTTCTTTTTCTTTTGCTGATCGTGTTTTTTTTTTGTTTCTTTGATTCTGTTCTTTTGGGGGGTATCTTCTTCCCCCTTTTTCGACTCGGATCCCCCGACCGGTGCTTCCCGTCTTTTTCCTCCCCTCGCGGCCCCCTGTCCGCCCCTCAGTATCCCATCTTCGATAATGTTCAACTGTTGTCGCAATTGAACCAGAGTTCTGTTGATCAGGTCCGCAATCGCGTCTGAGACATTGATTACCGCGTTTGCTCGATTTCTTGAACAACGTGCGACCCCAAACCCCAAGTCGTGGGTCTGGACAGAGGGGGACTCTGGAGTACTGCAGCGCAGGTATCTTTAGCTTTCTTTCGTTTTTCGAGAAACTTGTTGTTTTTCGACGCGTCTTTACACCCCAAGAAGGTCGTGACCTGGTGTCCTCGGTGCTACTCAACCCTCATCCAACGGTTTTCTGCGCGATTGGTCGTAAGCTAGTTCCCCCCCATTCCTCCGATCGATCTACTGTCAATTGCCCACCCCCCATTCTTGGGCAAAAAGGGCACATTTTTGCCGATTATCGATAAGAATCTGGGGAAAATTCAAGCTGACGGACATCTCACTGTCTACAGATTGCGGTTTGAATAGTCATCTGGCGAGTGCGACCGGTCGCCCCAACCTCCCCGACCTTTGCCAGACACCTCCGGGAGGACATTGTGCTCCCTCGCGCCAATTGTACCAATCGCAATTGATACCAGAATCCTGTCAACGAGTGCCCGCAGAAGCTGCCTCGGACAGTCACACAGCAAGTCTCTTAGGGCTCTGCGCATTTACTAGACGAAGGTATGCTACCAGCCGCAATGCAAATTCCCTCACGGCGCATACCCGTCCTTTGCCAAACTATTCCATTTGATAAATAGCTTGCTAATTAACACTAGCCGTTTCTGAGGCCGGTCCCGAACAGCTTTTTCGGCTATGAGCACTTCTCGTCAGCAGGCCGTGCCACTCCCCGCTCATGTCTCAGCAGTATCGACCAACACATCATCTCCCGCCCAGAAGAATGCGCGCGCACCCTATCCCGACATGCTAGGTACACCGCCCGTTCCTCCCCCGAGGACCTCTTCAACCGCCCACAGTCGCCGCAGTCCAAATGGAACCTCTACCGATAAGACCAGTAGCTCCCGACAAGGCAAGAGCAGATCTGATCGAAAAGAAAGCCGTGATCGCACGCGCGACGACCGAAATGGTAGATCACGGAGGCACCAGCCTGAGGAGACGTCTCGCGAAGTGCAACAATCAAGGACGGCACGACCAGTCGCAAACCCCGCCGAGTCAGAAATGGACAATGTCCATGGCCAGGGGACATTTGTAAAGGAACCAAGCGCGGAAGACAATTCTGTACTCGACAACGACCATCTTATGGACCAAGAGAGAGAACAGATGCGACAAGCAGGCACAGAAAACCCCTCTTCGTCTGGATTTGGTGCAGCTAGCGCTGACGACGTGGAGGAGGCCCGTGGGCCTCGAAGTCGCCACGATTACAATAATGGAAACGTTGTCAAGCGCAAGGAAACCACATTTGGTTCGTACATTCTTGGACAAACCCTCGGCGAGGGCGAGTTTGGAAAGGTCAAGCTAGGATGGAAGCGTGATGGCAGTCTCCAGGTGGCAATCAAATTCATCCGGAGAGACACACTAGGGACAAACCCCAGCCGACTCCCGAAAATCTACCGTGAAATCGCAATTCTACGTGAGCTGGCACACCCCAACATTGTCCGCCTCCACGAAATGGTGGAAACCGACCGTCATATTGGTATCATCATGGAATACGCGTCAGGAGGTGAACTGTTTGATTACATCTTAAATAATCGATACCTCAAGGATAATTCTGCTCGCCGACTGTTTGCTCAGCTGGTTTCTGGAGTTGGTTATCTGCACAAGAAGGGTATTGTGCACCGTGATCTCAAGCTGGAGAACTTGCTGCTTGATCGGAATCGCAACATCATCATTACTGACTTCGGATTCGCCAACACCTTCGATCCTGTCGATCCTCTAGACGAGGAGATTGAGTACAATTTGACCAACAAGGAATACGTGAAACGGAAGCGGCTAGACAAGATTGGTACAAATGGGCTACGGCGAGGCGATCTTATGCAGACCAGCTGTGGTAGTCCCTGCTATGCAGCCCCCGAACTTGTCGTGAGCGATTCTTTATACACAGGCCGAAAGGTGGATGTTTGGAGTTGTGGTGTGATTTTGGTATGTTTTTCCCTAAAGCTATAAGAATCTGACTTTTGACTAACTCGTTTATGAAATCTAGTATGCTATGTTGGCGGGATACCTACCTTTCGATGACGACCCAGCGAATCCAGATGGCGACAACATCAATCTTCTTTACAAATATATTGTCACTACCCCTCTCACATTCCCGGAATATGTCACACCACATGCTCGCGACTTATTGAGACGGATACTGGTTCCCGATCCCCGGAAACGTGCCGACCTGTTCGAGGTTGCCCGCCACAGCTGGCTCAGCGAGTTCTCGAACATTGTGTCTCATATCACAAGCAGCACGACAAACGTCGTGGACATTGCGAACACAACGATACCGTCTGGTAAGGATTTGCTTTCTGCAAGTGGTTGAGCTGCAAGTTACTGACATAGATCTACAGAAACCCAAAAAGAGACACCGCCTCTCGTCCGCAGTGCCTCAGTGCGCGAACCGCCGAAGACACATCAGAACAATGCTCCTGCTGTTGGTGGTTTGAACCATCATGCTGGAGATGTCTCTCAAGACCCCCCGTCCGAAAAGTCCAGGACCCCCCGCGATGCCAAGCGGAGGACGGTACAAGTCGAATATGTTGCTCCTCAATCGCAGACGACCCGAGGAGAACCTCCGGTGGAACCGTCTACATCACGCGGCCGAGCCCCGGCCCCATCCGAGGCCCACATCGCGGCTTCAGCGCAACAGCCGACAGAGCCCGCACACCAGC